TTTGATTATTTAGAAGGTTTTGATATGGCACAATCCGAGCCGCCTCGATGTTGACATGATTGGATAAACGCATTTTATGATTGGCTGCTTGCTTTTTAATTTCGTGTGTGACACGATCGTGAGAACCCTGTGTATATCGGCATTACGGACATATCAAGGGTTGTTTACAATGTCTCGTAATACCCTATTTTGAAATATTTGAATAAATTGAATATGAGTCTGCACAGCGCAGCCCCATAACTGAATACCGTAAGCCCAGACAGGCTTAAATATTTGATTATATATCAAAACTTTGTTGTATATTGACAACGAAGAACATCTTCCCAAAAGCCATATAAACTTTCTGTATTTCTTCTCGAGTTGAGATCTCTTTTTCTTTATGTGCTCCTTCCATCTGAGCTTTGCGTCCAATGTCATTCCCAAATACTTCGCCGTGTTTGCGAACGAAATTAAGACGCCATTTATCCGAACCGAAAATAAATTGTCTATTTTTCTACTGATTTAACGCCGTGTACTGATTTAACCCCGTTAAGTTTTATATTCCACTTTCTAGTCCATTTTGAGATCTCATCACTGGCCCTTTGTAATTTTTATATAGATGCATTTTCAGCAAAAATAGCTGTTGTCCGATTCAGGAATATCACATGTGTATAACACGTATAATATCGAACTTAATATACTCCCTTGTGGTATCACCGACCTGATAACCTTAAGCGAAGAGTCCTCCTCCTCCAGTTTAACTTGAAATACCCTATTAATAAAAAAATTTAGGCAAATACTGCCCCGGTAGTAATTGCCTAAGTTTTTTTATTAATATACAATGCCAAACCTTATCGAAGGCCTGGGCTACGTCCAAAAATGTGATGTGATTTCTTCCGGTGAATTTTGTATTAGGTCAGTTATTCGATGAATCTGATCTATGGTTGAGTTGTTCCGGCGAAAATCAATTGGATGATTCGGGATTAACTTTTTACTTTTAATTATTGGCTGAAGCCTTCTCAATAAAAATTTCTCTATCGGTTTTGAAATATTCGACAACAATGATATTTATTATCTCTGCAACTTTCCAAATACCAGGCACGTTATTAAACCTTATACACGCATTTATTAGGCGCGTAAGCATCGTTATACCCCTTTTGGGTAGTTTTTTCAAAATATCGGCCATCCTGATTTCCTCTATAACATCTCTTTCCTTGACAATTGGAATAGTCACGCTATCTTCAACAAAAGAAGATTCCTCATCTTCACGCATGTCCTGACTGTCATTCGGACAGAATGTATCGACCAAATAGTCTGCAAACGAATTTACTTGGTCTTTACCAGTTTTTGCCCACGTTCCATCTTTGTTTTTTTTAAGGAGCCAGATGTTTGATAGGTTGCTTCATTTTCTTTGTTGCCCTCCACAAAGAGCAATTGGTTTTATCACAAGCCGTCTAGCTTTATCAGTAGCATCATACATTTGCTGCCACCTCTTTCTCGCCCCCCCTGCTTTGTGCTACTTTTTTTAGTATATATGGAGGATAGTTAAAGGCATAAACTAATATAGCATTAATTCTCGAACTATTCCAGCCGCATTTTGAATAATTTTAGTAAAATTTTCGGCCTCCTTATCTATCTGCTGGGTTGTTCTTATTCTTTTCCTTAGATCTATTTGTCGTTCAATCTCTAAACGAAATCTTGACCAATCTGTAGTTCCATTTGTCGGCGTAGGTTTCGCTCTTTTCATTACAATATTTTCCTTAAGTTTACGAATAATTACTGAATGATCGGGGTTAAGATCATAGTTATCATGTACCTCAATGAAGTTTTTCGCAATCCGTTTTGTTATGAAGAAATCTATTAAATCTGGACACTTATTAACATCGGTTGGCCAATACGCTGGCTTCGCAGTAGAGTGAAAAAGGCACCCCGCGCCGCCAGTTCCTGTCCTAAGTTCTCTTCCTCTAGTTGAAGTATGCCTTGAACCCCAATCAGTGTGCTTGGCGTTGAAATCACCCCCAATATAAATCTGTCGCCTAGGTCGCCCAGAACGTTTTAAAACATTATTTTAAATCTGGGGTGACAATATAAAGCAGGCACTCCAAACTTTGCTTAGTCGACATTTCATTTGCTTTCAACATTTCATTTTGTTTTTTTAGTTTTTCAATTAGTTCACCTGCACTTAATTAATTGTCCGTGTGCACAATTATTTTCATTCTATTATAGCACAGTCTGTTTTAATTATTATCATTCCATTATATCTATTTTCAACATTATTAATTCAACATTATTATTGTTTAAATGTTTTGGATCCATCTTTGTATTTAAGTTTTTTTTTGCTTTGATTTACTATTGGATATTGTCGGTTCTTGCTCAGTTGTTTTCTTTATTTGTTTTCAAAACATTGGCGAATGACACTGTTTGAACTACATTGTTATTATTATTTAAAAATTGAAATTGAATTCACTAGTGAATCTTTTAATTTTTCTGTATGCTTGTTGAGAACTAAATTCAACTTTTCACTTTCCTTCCTGAACCCTTCGACGTTTGAAACTATTTTTTTAAACTCTTTTTTTTTTTTGTTCCTTCTTTAAGTCATTTAATCGCTCTAACATATATATTTTTGTTCAATAGTTTTCAGTACTTCCATTATTTAGTTTTCGCAGCCATTCTATAGTTGACTGCGATAACCGTTGTACTAAGGCAGTAGTTTTTACACGATCTTACGCAATCTTATTTTAATTTAAATATTATTTTTAATTTTGCCGTAATTAAAGTTCCAACCGTTACGTTTGACAATTCAATTAGAACTTGATTTTTAAAAATACATTGTAACTTAAAAAATTATAGTTTTGTTGCTGTATCCTGCGTTATAACATAACATATGTATAAAATATCGAAATATGAGTACACTTCGACACATTATGATATTTTTTCACATTATGTTTAATGAAAGTCATTTTGCAATGTTATACAGAATCAAACATTTTTATTATGCAGTTTTGAATGCATTTTGATTTTATAAAATATTTTTCTCGTTATATAAATGTAATTATCGAAATGTGTACTTATTTCAGTTATACAAATTCAATAAAAAATCATTGCTTACATGAGTAAAAATTTTCAAAAATTGTACTTTAAATATATTATAAGTAAAAAATAACTTCACCTTATTTTGCAACATAGCATTGATTTATCATTTTATAATACGTACTAGTACGTGTAATGAAATCGGCAGAATGAAAAATAAATATAAATTTTGATTGAACGGTTGTCTATTTATGATAAAGGCAGAAATGAAAATAAGAATAGTTTTAATTGTACCCAATAGAGCTTCGAACAATTTTATTTGGATAGCGTGCTTACATGTCCAGCATGATAATGAGGAAAAAATATGTTTTTTTCTTTTAATTTTATACTATTCTCAGTTCAGTTCAGTTGTTTATTCAACTGACTTATTGGCTTGTTTTTTCAGTTACCATTTGCGTTAATGCACGTACATATCTTTCATGAATATTCATTTAAAGGGTTTCGTGTAAATGTCTGTTAAATCAATTCAAACGCATAGGTGTAAAATATATTGGCCTCAAATGAATTTTCAAGTCCCAAATTTAAGGATTTTCTATGATGTATTTTTATGTCGAGACATAAAATTTCATATATATTATTTACATATATATAACACAGTAGTGTTGTTTTTGATATGATAATTTGATATTAATTTAATTTATTTTGTGACATAAGTTAAAATAAGTAGAATGAATTTTCTAATATAGAATAATAAATAAAATTATTTTAAGTAATAAAATTTGATCGCGTATTATTATATTTAGATGTTAAATTTAATAGAATTACAAATCTGTTTTTTTTTTCGAAATTTTCTTTTCGCAAATAAAAAAGAAGTTAATTTAATTAAATTATGATTGTTGGAAACCTAATTTAATTTGTAGAAATATAGGTGCCATACAGCGTGTTTAACATTTGGCAAATACTTTCACGGACGATTATTATACAGGCGATTGTTTTATTATACATACTAAACTAAATATTTAATAAGGAATTTGTACGAAATGTATGAACTTGTTTTTAAAACACATTTAACAGGTTTTGTTGGCAGAACTATGCGAAATAGAAGAAAATGTTATATAGATTCAATTTTATTCTCATTGTAGCGCATTGAGAGTTAAAAAAAATGACGCATTGTAGAGTTTTTAAAAAAAAATTTCTGATTTTGAAGTGTTTTATCTCGAAAACTATGACTTAATTCAAATTGATCAATCGCGTGTAAAGCAAATCCCGACACTTACTCTATGGCGCATGGTTCCGGAGTTATAAGCATTAATTTATATGCAGGAAAAATATCGTACGCTTAATGACCGTCTGGTAATAACGAAGTAGTAGTAGCAAAATGGCACATATATGCTAATTGTGGTGCGGTGGACCTGCTGCACCCAACCATATCTAATGTAGGTTCTCTTTGTGAGAAACCTCTTATTCTGATGTTTTCGAATTATATTTAATAATAAATCTAGCTCCTTAAACAGGAGTTACATTTAAAATTTCAAAAAGTAAAAAAACCAGTCGAAATTGATTTTAATCCCCTGTTAATCCGAATCTGTTGAGGTGTGATCATCATATCCATACAAAAGAGCATCATATGACCGAAAATAAAAACCAATCAACCACCTGGAAAACAAATTGCCGATGATTACTCTTTGTTGTATGATTCCGAAGTTATAAGCATTTATTTATATGCAGAAAAAATTTGGTACCTTTTTTTTCAACAGGCTGTAGCTCGAAAACGAGTGTAATAAATATAAAATGCTTAATAATAGGAAAATCACCTAGGTCTAAAACAATCAGTATTATTTATTTCTTGATTTCTTTCTTATCAGAAATAAAAATAAATCGTTTTCCAAAAATCCTAATGGTGGCAAGCATCAACAAAAAACAATTATCCAAAAATTTGTCCTATATTTTTAATAAATACTAACTTTCTCGTTTTTTTTATTTTTTTTTAGTTTCAAGACGATATCGATTCTTTAAATAAACTAGCTCGCAATAAGTCTAACTCCGATATGATAAATCGTATAAATCAACAAAATCCGAGCATTCGAGAAACTCGTAACGAAAATCGTGAACTAAAAGCAACATTAGAGGATCATCAACGTGTTTTAGAATTGGTTATGCAAAAATACCGCGAACATACACAACAAAATTTGTTTAAAAGTCAAGTTAATTTCAAAGAATTGTATAATGAAAAATTATTAGAAGTAATAAGAAAGCAAGCTGAGAAAATTAATGAGATGGCAGCTGTAATGCAAAAAGCGGCGCAAGCAGATGACGATGATATTTATAAGGAACTGGAATGGAATACAAAACTTAAAACAGAGAATCAAGCTTTAAGAGAAATTTTACAAATAGCAAATGATTTTGGATCAACAACACCATTATGTTCTGGTATTGTTGATGTTAGTAGTGTTTGCAATAACGTTATCGCAGCCAGCGACGCTGTTGGTAGTTCCAATGATGATATTATTTGCATTGATGAGGTTAAACAAAATTTATTGCTTCATAGCCAAATTGCAACATCGAGTACTTCATCTGGTTACGGTTCGTCATCTATTGGAACAAATAGCATACAAAGTAGTAGAATACTATGTCGGCCATGTGAAGATAAAGCTATACAAACCGAAATCATACAGCAGCAACATATAGACGAGCAACAACAACCCCAAAAACTTCTAGAATTACAACAACAATCATTACATCTATCAGTTAATAAATCATTAGAAAATGACGATGAAGATAGTGTTATTGAAAATAAACAAGTAAATTTTATTGATGATGATAACGAACAAGTCGTGTTAAGCACTATGAAAATATACAATCAAGTTTTAGAAAATGGTAATAGTAATAAAACGAATATAAAAAGTAAATTAAGTACAACTGAAATAAATAGCGAACAGAATAGTAATAACAATTCACCAAATAAGAATAAGCAACAACCAAAAATAAAACAGAAAGAGCAACAGAATCTTAATAATGAAAATAATAAAAATAATTTAACAGCTTCTAAGCAAATTAGTGAAAATATCAAAACAATACCAGTACAACAAAAAACCGAAAATAATTTTGTTGAAATCACTGAATTATCAAAATTAAATTTAACAAATGGTACTGTTGACAGTATTGTTGAAAATATTGAATCAAAGCAACAATTACAAATTAATGATACTAGGTTAAATAATTCAACGGTAAAAGCAGAGATTCAAGAAAATAATAATAAAAGTACTATATCGTCGTGATAGATAGAACTTAAATGTATTATGATCTTAAAAAATCATAAGAATAAATTATTTAAATAAAATATTTGAAGGAAAAACAAAAAAATTAAATATGAATTTCATTTTAAGTCAAATATGTATCTTATTATTTCAATCTTTTTTTACTACAGATACGCAATGGAGTAATATTAAGAAATGTAAGAAAAATATGTTATATTAAGATTAAATTCATGAAAAAGATAAAAGTGAGATTTAAACTTTGTGGGCAGTTAAAATATTTTTGTTTCTATCTTTATGATAAAAAATTTTTGAATCAAGTTGAAATGACTTTATTCATTAAACTTATTATTTTCTTATTTACTTAAATAATAATTATCGACTTCGCATTAAATATGTGAATTTAATTCAGCTGAATAAAACAAATTATGAAAAACCATTTTGTTCAAATGAAAAAGCAAAACATCCACATCCGCAATATTGGTTAAAATTTTGATTTATATCGATAATAAAAAATTAAAAATATAAATATTCATCAAAAGATTCACACTTGCTGCAGAATTTTAAAATTCTTGAAAGCTTTATCTTAAAAATGAATTTTAATAAAGCCTAAGATAATGTTGGAACGTATGATTTCAATTACACGAGTTTTTAAAAAATTTATTTTTATTTAAGCAAACGAAATAATACAACAGTTGTAATATATTAATCGCTACTATTGTAATTTGTTTTGTTTCTGTAAAAAGAAGTCGTGACTTTATTCAAAAATTTATTATTTAGCTTTAATAAAAAGCATCGAGAAAAAAGTTATTCTTGACGCATTATAAATTAGAACGAAATTAAAGAAAAAAAATCTGTAGTACCAAAAGGTAAAAATGTTATTTAATAATTTCAATGTTTTTTCTAAGTTATTTACATATTTATGCTTTATATTTTACCTCTTTTTTGGAAACAATTTCTTCATATTTACTATTTTATTCAGTGAAAAAAAAATTATTTTCGCTTTATGTATTATATATATAAACATTTTTGTATTTTGTTGAAATATTTATTTTATACCATTTACACTAATATGAAAATATGTTAATGTAATTTACACAAAAAGCAAAAAAAAAAAAAAAATATTAAAAAATCAATTAATAATCATATGTATAAATTAAAATAAAAATAAATTATTGAAAAAACAAAACTTACAACTTTTTACTTTCCTCTAATTTGGTGGTTAGATACCTGAATAAAAATTTCACTATTACCATTTTAGGTCGATGGTTAAATTTCCTACCACCAGAAGTGGAAAACTAAAGAAATATTGTCAGCTGCTATCATTTAATCAAAAATAATATAATACTATTAATTTTAATTGAAGTTAATTTATCTTTTAAAAAAATAATAAAAATACACATTTGCGTTTTCATTATTTTTAGCTCCTATAAAGGTCTGCATCAATAATAATAAAAGATAAGTAAATTCAAAAATTTAAAAGTAGAGACAAGCTGTTTGTAATTGTATATATACGACATGAATATATAGATAATTGAATTCATATGAATGTATTAAATTAACAAAATAAAAAAAAAATTTTAAATACAATATGTATAGTAATTTATTAAAGAAACTGATGAGTATAGTTAGTAAAAATGTTTCTAAAAGTATGTTCGATACATTTAAACGTATATTCTAAAAGTAGAAACGCTGTAATAATAATATTTTAATCATTTTTATAGTTATTTTGTATTAAAAATAAAATACTAAAGTAAAATACTATAATTTAATATTCCTTAATATCATGAAATAAAACTATAAAAGGAATGAAGTTATTTTTCACAAGAGTAGCATTTTTTGATACGTAAAAATCAATTTTTAGATAATTTAAAGAAATCAAAGTTTCTGTATGAAAATTGTTTGAGGCTCAATAATTAATTCGAAGAAAGAAAAAAGTTATCAGTTATTAGGCATAAAATATGTTACTAAAAATGGCTTTCAGTCATATGTAACTGCCACATTGATCGATAGTATAATTTATTATTTGCATGGGTTTTTTCACCGGGAAGTTTTCTTATTGTTTGAATTTCTCTTCTCATCTAACAGAGTATCTTTAACATACGAAAATTGTATTTTATCTTTTGAACTGTTTTGAATTTTTTAAATTAAATATTAAATGAGTTTTTCCTTTTGAATTTTTTGTATCCACCTGAAGATTTTTACGTCACAAATGTTTATAATAAAAATTAAAGCAGAAAAAATTTGTTTATAAATGTTTTTGTTATAATTTATAGTTCTATTTCATGTTCTTCGACTAAATTTTTGGCAATTTTTCTCTTAATTTCTTACAATAAAATCACTGCCTTTATTAAAATTTTAAAACTTTTAAAAGTTACAAGCTTTGATTTTGTTTTTTGTTTATTATTATATACAAATTTTACTTACTACTTATTTATGGTATGATAAAGTTAAAATTTATCATATTGTGAGCATATAAATACATATATTGAATTAAATTTTCAAGTTTTAAGTACTTATTAAATTATTTTTTGATTGTTAGTATTCAAACGCAAGTCAAAACTTTGTAAAATTAGATAAAAAATATTTAAAATAAAAAAGAAAAAATTTAAAATAATATTTACAAAAATAAAATTTGAAGTAAAAAAATTAAAATTATACTCGTATTGTAGAAAAATAAAAAATATATGATGAGAATGAAGATTTTGCAAGCAATAATAGTAAAAATGAGTATACTTGAACTGAACAAAAAAAAACTGTAGCTATACATAATATATTTCTTAATTTTGTTTATCGTTATAAAAAAAATGAAGTCTCTAAATGTTTATTTATGTTGTTTGTAAATTTTAAATAAAACTTAAAGTTTGTAAGTACATATAATAAATTAAAGGCAATACAATGTTTTTCAAATGTAGCAAAATAAACTTATAGTTTCAAATTAGATTCATTTTTCAGGTTCAATATTATTTCATGTTTTTTTAAAAATCTGGAAATTTAAAGTTAAATGATTATTGATTTTTATATTATAGTTATATTATGTCTATTATTAAATGTTTTGCAACAAACATTTCAAAAATTTTTTGTTGTTGAATGTGTGATGTGTGAATTGTTCTTTTTCACTTGACAAAAATTATGTGGCAAGAATTTGTAACCAATAGTTTTATTTATAATATTACTAATCTTTTAATATTGTATGTAAAATGATTAACAATTGATAAGTATACAATTAATCAAACAATTTACTGTTTATGGATAACTATATTTATAAGTATAGCCTAAATGACAATTTTATATTTAGATAGACAAGATTTTATATTTTGATTACAAATAAATATTTTTGTTCTCTAGGAAAGTGAATTTTTTTTTAAAATTCACTATGGGGAAGTGAATTTGTTTTTCTTGAAATTTCACTTTGAAGGAGAAACATAACTTTTATATTTTCAGAACAAAGATAACAAAAAAGGAAATGAAAACAAATATCAAAAACGGAAACAAAATTTTTACTAATTTTTTTAAAAAATAAGCAAAAAATGCATACTTTGATTTCTAAAATTTTGAATATTGTAACAGTTGTACCAAGCTGCTAAAAGGATTAATAAGAACCGTTTTTTTATTAACAATTTTTATCCCTATTATTTTGATATATTATATAGTAACAATATCATTACGTTTACAATAACAATTATTCTTACAATAACAATTATTTCCTTCTCGAGAAGAAAATCAGCTTTGATAAAGTGCGTATGTAGCGCACGAAATATATTAGCAAAAATAAAATAAAAAAAAAGGATTTTATTCCGAATAAAAGGAAGTTTTCTTTTCATACCAATAAAAAAAAGAATTATATTTCGGAAAAATTATCAACCACTGAAGAATTTTTTGAACAATTATTCTATTTGAATTTTATTTTGAGAAAAATAAGGGACTAACTTTTTTGTACGAGAACTCATAGTTTTTTGTAAAAATAAAAAAACAGATTTCCAGTACTAATACTTAGTATTACATGTGGCAAAGGTTTTGTCAAAACACATTTAATCGATTAAATTTACAATACATATTTTAAATTTGTGAATTTAAGTTAATATAACAGTATGTTTTCTTCTTCAGCATTTAATTTTAATTATTTATACTTTTTTTGTAAATCGGAAACGCAAATATGCTATAAATATATTTTCAAAAAAGTTCTACAAGTTGAAACGATTTGACTTTTTTAATTTTCAACAAATTTTGTTGCTTTAAGTAGCTATATTTGATTAATTTAACTGATATATGTAGTAAGTAATATTAAGATTTTTTCGATAGAAAATTGGATTAAATTCAATTCAAAGTATTCGAATTTTATATGCAATTAAAATAAATATTCATTAAATAATAAATTTTGATTTTATTAAAAATATATGGACTTATTTAATTAATGTTAAAATATTTGTATTCTAGTAAATGGCTATTATGTAGCAAATTTTAGTGGCTACAGTATAATTATGAATTGTAAAACATAGCTAAATCGTAATTTTATAAAATGAATTATTACTGAATTTGCTAGTTAAAAATTAAAGTGTATATCCATGACTTAATTATTTATTCTCTTGGTCCACTTTCTTTTCAATGTATCTAATCATGTATTTTACTCATTTTTTATTTACTTTCAAATCAGAATTCTTAGTATTTTCTAATGGATGTTTCACTTTTCCAATTAAATTGATTACTCATTTTTTTAATTGCATTTTTGCATTTTTTCTCAAATTATGGAACGTCTCACTTTCAACAACAAAGTGAATAAATTTTGCATATCTTTTAGAAAAAGACGAGATACGCGATGCCAAACAATTCTGCTAACTCGAAAATTACATTATACAAGTATGTAATAGCTACTAACTTTACTTCTCACTTTCCGAGTAAAATGGCGAGATAGACGATCAGGCCCTTAATAAATTTTCATGATGTTTTATGAAGTAAGCACATTTAAAACAAATTTTTAAATACCATGATTTTGCAATTACTTTAATATCTACTTATAAAATGGTAAAAATCTAATTTTTATTTTTATAATTTGAATTAAAAGAATGATGTATGTATGTAAATGTCCATTTATTACCAGCTCAGGCTTATAATTATAGATACTTTTTGTTATATTGTTTTAGCTGTTAAAATATTTACGATGCTGTGTTTATATTTTACAAAATCAAAATTTATTATATATTTTAAAACTCATAATTTTTGTTATTTTCTCTAAATTTGAATTTATAATTGCGTACCTACATATTTATATTTAATAATCATAATTTTTTGTTTACAAAGCAGTATTTGCATGTATGTATATGATGTCTATTTTATATTGTTTTTATTATTTAAATATTTTGCTAATAACTTTTTTTTTCTTTGTGAAAGTTAAATATTTATAAAACATTTTAATGTTTAAATAAAGTAAAATATTTAACATTTGACTTCTTTTATAATCATATAGAAAAGAAACATGTGTTTAGCCACAATAGTTAATATAATATGATTATACCCATGAGTGTATATTATAAAATCTTATATGATGAAAAGCGTAATATTTATAATGATGATGTATGTTTGTACTCAGTCTGTTGCGCGTTTTGAGTTTTGAATTTTTACAATAACTTAATATAGAGTATAAATATATTGTAGTTGTGTACTTTTATACAATTTGAATATATCATGAATGATGAAATAATTATTTTTGTTTCTCAAGTTATTTTCTTAACAATGACTTCTTGATACATCTGTCATCCAATAATTAACTAAAGAAAGCAACATTATGTATGTTTTGAGTCAATACAGTATTTAGGACGGAAATAACAGTAAAATAGGTCGTGATTGGAAAAACCTGAATAAAGTATTTAGGAAAAAAACAATCACTTCAAGTAACAAGTAAAGGTTTTGTGTACCTTTTATTTAATGATATTTAAACCTACTATGTAGATTGTTTACTAGATTTTTAAGGGCTGATAGGTATGCATGTTTTAATAACATCGGCAGTCTGACATAATAATAAACTCCATAAATCCAAATTCCATAGCAAGAAGAGTTTTTTCACTAAACCATGAAAGTTCGTTATTAGATGGACCATAGTAAATGTGAAAACTTTCAGTAAATATATTAGTAAGAAAAATTTGTGAAACCCTGTTGTGTTGCATATTGATCTCATCCAGTTATCTACCTATGTACATATGTATTTTGTGGATATTTAAAATGTATAACACTATACAGTGCAACTTACTGATTTACGAACTATCGATTTACGAGTTTTTGTTTTTCTAATATTATTTTTTCGTTAGTTAAAATTGAAAAAAAAGGTAAAAATACTGATTCGTTAGTTTTACTTATATTTAAAGAAAGCAGAAAAAATATTCTGTTGCGACTCTATTAGGTATATCCATGAAAATATCAATACTTTTATGACTATTTCAACGCATGTCTTAGTTTATTTTAAAATAATAGGTCTGTCTGGTATAAGAAAGTTTTTAAAAACTTTATAACTTGAAGAAATAATTTTATAGTTTTTATATGCAAAGCATCTAGTGTTTCTTTTTCAACAAAATAATTTTTCAACAAAAATGAGAGAAAATTATGGCGTTTTCATTTCCTCAATGCTTAAAGTTTTTTCCAGACAGAAATTCATTAATAGAAGAATTCATTAATAGAAAAAAATAGGTATGTATGTATGAAAGACGCATATTATGTATGTATGTATGTACATACATATGTATTTCAATAGTTAATTAATAATTCAATTAAAAATTTATGAGATTCAAATTACAAATTATCACACTTTTTTCAAAACAAAACATTTATTTTTTCTCATTCCTTATTTTCTAAAGATATTTAAAAACTGTTTCTTAATTGTTTTTTACAATTTTAATTTTTTTTAATTATTAATTAATCGACATTTAATTTAATTTACCAAAAGCTGTACCTATGTATACGTAAAAATGAATACACAAGAAATTTTTTTATCGGTTCACTATCCTCAACAAGCATGGTGTATATTTATAGTATAACTATTAAATAAGTATAATATTTATGTATAATTTAATATAGCAGTTTGAAATTTTAAAAGGAAAAATATAAAACAATTTTCAATAAATTTATTTATTGATGTTTTGTAATTTTATAGAATTTATGTTTTAATTTTTTATAAAAATTTTAATTGCCACAAAAACATGTTCTAACAATCCGTAATTTTCAATTTTACATATGTATATATATGTACATATATTATGTATTAAATAAATACATAATATCACAAAATTTTTTTTTTATCTTAAATATTACTAATTTTAGTGTAATCTGAAATAAAGTAAAAATTAAATAGAATAATGAATAAATAATTATATTAAAACGCATTTAAAAAAACCAATAAATATTGTTTTCTTAACTTTTTAGATATATGTATCTATATGTACATATTTATATCTAACTCGCCTTAAGTTAGTATAAGTATACGTCACTAAAAAATTGTTAAGCAATTTAGTTACATAATACTTTACCTACAGTTATACTCATTTGTAGATAAAACTTGAGGAGTATACGTACATTATAGAATAATGTTTCGGGATGAGTAAAGTATATGTTTATCAGCCAAACAATTAAATTCAAATGTTTAATAATTTCACACGTTGAAATAACAGTATTGTTATAACAGTCTTGAAATAACAAACATAGATACACAGTCTTGTTAACTTCAGTTTCAGTGTTAATAAACTTAACCGCATAATAATGAAAACTAGAACAGACAAAAACAATCAACAATATAACAAGTATGTAACTAACAAATTTTTTATACAATAACAATAAATATATTTAAGACTGGTAGTACCTAGAAAATTATACACAAATATGATCGAAATATTGGTTCCTTTATTGGTTCTTTCAAAAATATTTTATTTGAAGTTTTTGCTTTTCTTTGAACGGACGCTATGAACAAAAAAATTTAAGCAAGTAGAAATTTTGTGAAATTTTCTTAAAATTTCCGCAACCTAAAAATAGTTAATTAAAAGCAATACTTTATGCATTATTGACATTAAGCATTTATTAATAAATCAACCAACATCTTCCTAATATATAAATTTATTATATTACTTCTTATTTATCAAGATGTCTTCCCCTTGCCTAAAGAACAATACTTTGACATTTTTTATTGCAAAGTATAGTTATTTTTTTTACCGGATCTACCATAATAATAGATTTGTTAAAAGATATCTTATTCACGTAGTACATACTCGTATATACATGTATTCCATCTTCTACAAAATAATTAAATTAATATTTTTTTTTTGTTATTGAATATTTATTTAATTAAATATGCTTAGTTATATTTCAGACGTTTTATTTTATAAAAAGTCAAATGCCATTAACATTGCTGGTTGTATTAAAAATTTGATATATTCAATTGATTAAAACCTTGACTGTTTAGTAGCAAAAAGTAACTGGAGCTTATACGAGTTAATTTACATAAATAGTCGCGGTTAAATATTATTATTCTTTACCTACATACGTACATATGTATGAACATATTCAGGAGCAAACAGTTTTCAAAATAATTAAATAATATTAAACAATAATTTTTTTGGTTTCTTCTTTGCTCACATTTTAAAGCTACGTTTAGTACATGTTATTATGTTAATTCAAGGAGATAAAACCATCAACAAAATGCGAAAACGCAAGAATATTCATTTAATAAAATTTTTAATAATAGTATTGATTCTTTTACCTATTGGGCTGATTATCTCCAGTTGGATTATATCAAGACAAACATCAGAACTTTTAGATCTAATTAGGCTTGATACATGGAGCCGAATTGATATAGTAGGAAGACAAGAAGCTCGTATTGTTGATATAAAAAATTTCAATCAAATTTTAATTGAAGTCGAAGAAAAAATTGAAGGGGTTACTAAAAATTTTCTAGTGAATGTTCATAATATTGAAAGTGCAAAGAAAGCAAGACTTTTACCAATAATTCAGGAAGATGATGGATTGGAAAAAATAGATTGGCACGATAGAAATTATATGGAGAAAGAGAAACTTAAAGTCGGTATAGGTGAACAAGGACGACCTGCTTATCTTATGTCTTATGAGGCCGAAAGTGAAAAATTATTATTTAACGAATATGGTTTTAATGGCTTATTAAGTGATAAAATTTCTCTAAATAGATCAGTGCCAGATATTCGTTACGAAGGGTATTCAAATATATTTTTTATATTTGAAATAAATATTGTAATTTTTATTTTAATTTTTAGTTGCAACTCAAAAAAATATCTTGCAGAATTGCCGTCGGTCAGTATAATTATAGTATTTTATAATGAGCATTGGAGTACATTACTTCGATCTGTATATAGCTGCTTAAATCGTTCTCCATCTCATTTAATCAAAGAAATAATTTTGGTGGACGACTGCAGCGATAAAGAATTTTTAGGAAAGCAGTTGGATGATTTTATAGCTGAAAAATTACCTAAAGTTCAGGTAATACACCTTCAAGAACGAAGTGGGTTAATTTTAGCACGTTTAGCTGGAGCAAAGCAAGCAACAGCAGAAGTTTTAATATTTTTAGACTCACATATTGAAACTAATTACAATTGGTTACCTCCACTATTAGAACCTATTGCACTAAACCCCAGAACATCCGTATGTCCCTTTATTGACGTGATAGATCATACAACTTTTGAATATAGAGCGCAAGACGAAGGTGCTAGAGGAGCATTTGATTGGCAGTTTTTTTATAAGAGATTACCTTTACTACCTGAAGACCTAATAGATCGAACTAGACCATTTAACAGTCCAATAATGGCTGGTGGGTTATTTGCAATAGGAAAAAAATTTTTCTGGGAACTCGGAGGCTATGACGAAGGTTTAGACATTTGGGGTGGAGAACAATATGAACTGAGTTTTAAAATTTGGATGTGTGGTGGTAAACTAATTGATGCACCTTGTTCAAGAGTTGGTCATATATACAAAGAAGTTATAACTTTTAAGAATCCTAGATCAAATGACTACCTTCATAAGGTAATTGGTATATTATTTACAGACATACATACGTTAAGTGAGATGAAATGAAGAAAAATTACTTTATTGTTATTTAGAACTACAAGCGTGTGGCTGAAGTTTGGATGGATGAGTATGCCGAATACCTTTACGATCGTGATTCTGAAATTTATAGTAAAATCGATACCGGTGATTTAACGAAGCAGAAAACTATCAGGACGAATTTAAAATGCAAATCATTTAAATGGTTCATGGAAAAAATTGCTTTCGATTTGCCAAAATATTATCCTCCTGTTGAACCACCAGATTTTGGATTTGGTGTAATTCAGAGTTATACTAATCCGAGTTTTTGTCTTGATTCTTTAAATAAAGGGTTAAACGAAGAGGTTGAACTTAATTTCTGTGCACAAAATCTAACACATCCTCATGGAAGTCAAAATTGGGCTTTAAGTTGGCATAAAGATATACGCGTTAGACATAAAACTGAATGTTTGGATGTTTCACAGAGTATCAAAGATTCGCCTGTTACATTATATGCTTGCCATGGACAACATGGTAATCAATTATGGCATTATGACATAAAATCAAAGTGGCTTGTTCAAGGTCAAAGTATGCGATGTTTAGAAGCAGCACCAAAAGTAGGAAAAGTTTATGTCAATGATTGTAGTGAATCAAACTTAAACATGAAGTGGAATTTGGGTTACGTAAATGTAACTGCAATTGAAAACTATGGCTTAAATTCTGATTCTCTCTAAGATCATATAAATTATGTTCTTAGGTATACTAAATGATAAAATTACTTTAAATTAATTATTCTGAATTATTTAATTAAATGCGTTGTTCTCATGTCATAAGAATTTTTGTTATATGTATTTTGTTTTCTGTTTAATTATTTAATATGTGTATGTATACACATAAGTTTAATAAAAATACGACATATTTATTGTTATACATAATTAATATGGAACCGTTTCACTGCGTTTGATCTTGTGATCTTCAGCTCAAAGACGTTCAAAATAATTTGTTCAGAGGTTTAACAAGTTTTCTGTGCACTAAATTGTAATTACTGCTCCATTAACTTTCTAGTCAATATTTTGTTTAAGTTTTTAATTGTATTACCCCTATAATTATTGAATATATTATACATTCTACTGTAATTGGATTTACATAAAGGCATTATAGACTATTTACTAAAGTAAAATGTTAAGAAAGTAAAAAAAATTTATTTAAAAAAAAAAATACACAAATTTTAAACCCAGATTCTATTAACTCAAAGATTGGCAACGTATGTAGCACATTTTTCGTATGGTAAACAATATCTATACCAAAATTGTATCATGTGCGAAAACATTATAGCAAACATTTTCCAGGAAAAAAGTGAAATTAACGAAAACATTAGTATGATGGATGAAGTCGAAGGTTTATTTAATGAAACCCGAAATCTAAAAATTGTTTTTCATTGAAATCTGAAAGCTTAGAAGAAAATGGAAGTAAAAAATAAAACTGTTCCGACGAAATAAACCACTTATTAATTTCCACAAACTCTTAAACTCTTAAAATCTTCTGCAATATACCAACGTTTTTAACGTTTGTTTTTAAGTAATGGTTTATTTCAATGGTCATTTTTCTGATGTAATGTTTGTCTATGCTTTTTCGCGATAGAAATATAGAAGGTAAATAGATGGATGGACAGAGGAATTAAAATAAATTTACATTTTTTTTAATGTTGTTGAAAAAGCGCTAAAAATAAGAATTTGTTTTTACAAGTATAAATTGCTTTCAAACACGTAAAAGTTATCAAAGCGACGATTATTTTTAAATTTTTTTCGAAAGAACAAGAAACTGTATCACATATTTTGGTATGTATCAGCGGATTGGAGTAGAGTAGCTAAATTAAATCTGGCAGACAATAAAGATATAACTTGTTATACCCGTACGAATGTTTGTTCGAAGGGTATAATAAATTTGCCTTACCGTTTGTAATGCTAAGGAATAATGGTCTGATATATAAACTCAAGTATATTATTTTGATCAGCATCGAATTCTGAGTCGATTTAGCTTTGTCTGTGCGTCTTTGCGTCCGTCCACCCGTCCGCTCGTTCGTTCGTCTGTCAGTCCGTCCGTCCCAACGCTAATTAAGCTAAGCTAATCAAGCTAAGTTCACAATTTTCACAAATGATTTATTACAGTAAATGCCAGACCCCTATTTAATTTACTTATAAACATGGTGCTGGTTGGGGGACCTGTCACACAACTTCCAAATTTATTTTGCTATATCTCAGAAACTATAAAAGCTGTGGTATTGAAATTTCCGACAAGTAAATAAATTAGTAGGGCTAATGTGTTTGATAAAGTAGGTGAAATTGCTTGGTTCCTTCTGGTAGCTGCCAAACAACTTCAAAAGTTAATTTGCTATATCTCAGAAACTATAAAATCTGTGATATTGAAATTTCGCACAAGCAAATATATTAGTAGGGTCAGTGTGTTTGACAAAAATCGTTGAAATTAATTGGATCCTTCTGGTAGCTGCCATATAACTCTAAAAGTTATTTGGCATTATCTCAGAAATTATTGGAATTTTAATATAGAAATTACAATTTGTTGTGAGTGACAAAAATGTTGTGTGTGATAAAAATCCTTGAAATTTCTTGACTCCTTGTGCGAGCTGCCGTACAATTTCAATAGTAGTTTAGCCATATATGTATATCTTAGAAAATATTGAAAGTACAGTACTGAAATTTTGCATAAATTAATATGGTAATACAAAAACTTGAAGTCATAGTCAGTCCAATAGTCAGCTATGGTATATATTTACTCGCTATGGATAAGTATATTTCTAAATAACACAGTTGGGAGCAGGATAAATCTCGGTATATATAAGATTCTATATAGAGGAATTAATTATGTTTGAGGAATTTAAGTTCGAAACTTTAAATATGCTGTTGCTTTTGGAAAATAGAAAAATGTTTATGTATGAACTTGTTTTTTTGAAAGTGGTATAAGTCCATTTTTTCATATATTGAGATATTTAAGGGTTTGTTTTCAATTCAATTTAAAAATATTGGCCATATAAAATAATTTGTTTATTTTATGTCTAAATAGAACCCTATTGAAAGAGTGATTGTAACTGCGGAGATAAGGTGTCTATAGCTCATCAAAATTGCCATTAACTTAGTCTTTTTAAAAAGTGGACTTATATCACTTTAAAAAAAATCAGCTGTTATGTATGTACGAAAAGAAATCGTTATAAAGTAGCGGAGCTATACGCAACACATGTTATACAAGATTAGATCTTGGATGATCTATTGATTATCCATGATAAATAAATACTAATGGTTTACCGTATAATTTGCAAAACTACTTATGGCGCAAAACTAATAAAAATTGGGTCTGATTATATAAGGTCTGGGATAAAACATGAAGAAACTTTAAAAAGTGAAATAATGACATAATTTTTTTCCAAAAAATTCATTTAAAACAGTAAATAAACCAGACGGAAAACTTTAAAAAAAACTTTTGAAAACTATAAAAAAACTTTTGAAAACTTTATAAATCTGTGATAAACGTCAAATTTCAAAGTGTTTATCAAACATTAACAGCAAATACGTTTTGGTAATACCAAAAAACCGAAAATTTTGATTTTAGATTATAAAACTGTGAAACTTACACAAAACAATTTTTGAACCCATTTTGGTTATTTTATTTTATTTTTAATTGAATGACAAAAAGTTATTGTTGAAGAAAATTTTTTTTTTTTTTTCAAAAATAAAACCTTCAGACATAACTAACAAAAACATATGTTTGACAGCGGTAAGATTTTAAAAGTTCTTAAAACACTAAATTTTACTTTACAAAACTTGAAAAAACTTTAAGCATTAAGAAAATGAGAATGTCATCATTTTCTCTCGTTTTTGTTCAAAAAGTATTATCCCAGAAAACTTTATAAAGTTTTTAAAGGTTTTTAAAAACTTTCTGATGCCAGACAGATCCATTCACGTTACAACTTCATATAAAATAGCAAATACATTAAAAATTAAAAAGTTGTAATATAATCATAGACTTCAAGAGCCATTTTTCCCTCCTCTTTAATTTAACTGTAAATATTTGAATTACAAAAGACTTAAGTGGTACGTTAAACTGTCAACAACCAGAATCCTTTAAATTATGTTCTATTGTGTAGTTATTTCATTTACTCAATAATGGTTCAAATAGTGAATCTATATTAAAAGATACCTTATATATGTACATATACGTATACATATGTACTCGTACATATGTACATATCTACATATATTATATGTTTTACTTTATACAAAAAACTTGATTTCATATTTTTTTTATATTGAAATATACTCGTATATTTATTTATTATATACATTTGATATTATGTTATTAAATTATATTTTATTATAAAAATATAAATTTACAAACTTTGCTGTTCGTGAATTTTAAAAATGGTATATAAAATTGCTCTCAAACTTTGGCTATTTAGTAGCAAAGAGCAATTAGAGCTTTCATAAGCTAAATTAAGTAGTTGTGGAAATATATTCTTATTCAGTAATTAAGCATAAATTCGTAAGCAGTTTTTCAAGTAATGTGATATTTAATATTGGGAAAAAAATTCCTTTATTTATCTTCGATTTGGCATTTTCTGTAAGATTTGCGCAATACTCACATTTTGAAGCTATAATTTTATAAAAATTCGTTATCATGTTAATTGATGTAGATAGACACATTAGTATAATTAGAAAGCGCAAAACCGTAAATTTAACGAATTTCTTAATAACAATATTAATTCTTATAACTATTGCACTGATTATCTCAAGTTGGACCATATTACGACAAACATCGGAACTTTTACATGTAAATAGATTAGATAAATGGAGTCGAATTGATATAGTAGGAAGACAAGAAGCTCGTATTGCTGATATAAAAAATTTTAATCAAATTTTAATTGAAGTCGAAGAAAGTTTGGAAGTTACTAAAAATTTTCTAGTGAATGTTCATAATATTGAAAGTGCAAAGAAAGCAAGACTTTTACCAATAATTCAGGAAGATGATGGGTTGGAAAAAATAGATTGGCACGATAGAAATTATATGGAGAAAGAGAAACTTAAAGTCGGTATAGGTGAACAAGGACGACCTGCTTACCTTATGTCTTATGAGGCCGAAAGTGAAAAATTATTATTTAACGAAAATGGTTTTAACGGCTTATTAAGTGATAAAATTTCTCTAAATAGATCAGTGCCAGATATTCGTTATGAAGGGTATTCAAATATATTTTTTATATTTGAAATAAATATTGCAATTTTTATTTTAATTTTTAGTTGCAACTCAAAAAAATATCTTGCAGAATTGCCGTCGGTCAGTATAATTATAGTATTTTATAATGAGCATTGGAGTACATTACTTCGATCTGTATATAGCTGCCTAAATCATTCTCCACAGCATTTAATCAAAGAAATAATTTTGGTAGATGACGGCAGTGACAAAGTGTTTTTAGGAAAGCAATTGGATGATTTTATAGCTGAAAAATTACCTAAAGTTCAGGTAATACACCTTCAAGAACGAAGTGGGTTAATTTTAGCACGTTTAGCTGGAGCAAAGCAAGCAACAGCAGAAGTTTTAATATTTTTAGACTCACATATTGAAACTAATTACAATTGGTTACCTCCACTATTAGAACCTATTGCACTAAATCCAAAGACATGCACATGTCCTATAATTGATGTAATAGATTATACAACTTTTGAATATAGGGCGCACGACCAGGGTGTCCGAGGAGCTTTTGATTGGCATTTTTCCTATAAAAGGTTACCGTTACTACCAGAAGATTTACTGGATCGAACTAGGCCATTTGATAATCCGATAATGGCTGGTGGGCTATTTGCGATAAATAGAGATTTTTTCTGGGAGCTCGGTGGCTATGATGAGGGTTTAGATATTTGGGGCGGAGAGCAATATGAATTGAGTTTTAAAATTTGGATGTGTGGTGGTAAAATTGTTGATACACCTTGTTCAAGAGTTGGTCATATATATAGAGATGTGGTTCCTTTTAAGAATCCAAGATCTAATGATTATCTTCATAAGGTAATCAAAGTATATTATGTATGTGAATATTTTGAAATTTATATTACAAATACACTCATAGAATTTTAAGCGTGTGGCAGAAGTATGGATGGATGAATATGCCAAATTTATTTATGATCGTGATCCTGAAAGATACAACAAACTCGACGCTGGTGATTTAACAAAGCAGAAAAGAATTAGAGCAAATCTGAAGTGCAAATCTTTTAAATGGTTTATAGAAGAGGTTGCATTTGATTTACCGATGCATTATCCCCCCATTGAACCACCAGACTTTGCACATGGTGCAATACAAAGTTACTCTTATCCGAATTTGTGCCTTGATACTTTAAATGCTAGATTTAACGAGCAGGTTGGATTAAGTTTCTGTACACAAAATCTTACACATCCTCCTGGTAATCAAAACTGGGCTTTAAGTTGGCATGAAGACATACGCCTCCGTGATAAAACTGAGTGCTTAGATGTTTCGCAGAGTGTTGAAAACTCCCCTGTAGTCCTATATCCGTGCCATGATACACAGGGTAATCAATTATGGCATTACGAATTAAAATCAAAGTGGCTTGTACAAGGTGAAAATAAGCGATGTTTAGAAGCGGAACCAAATCTCAAGAAGGTTTACGTTAATGACTGCGATGAATCGAATTTGAATATGAAATGGAACATTGGATATGTTAATTTGACTGCGTTTTAAATTTACAATTATTACAATGGTAATATGGTTATCAAAGGGCGCTGTAATTTTTATTTATAATATATAAATATAATAATGTTAAATATAACCATTTATTTTATTACCAGTAGTTATATCGTCGGTTTAAAAGAACAATTAAATATCTGCAAAATGGGCTGTTTTGACTTATTCTGCATAAAAAATGTTATAAACATATTGTTTCCTTTGAAAAAACTGATATGCTTACTGGCGCTTTTATTTGCAAATTTTCGCAAAAAAGTTCTTACTGTGTGTTCATTAACTAATTAAAAGTTAAGCCACGACTTATAATTTATGATTTCTGCAAATGTAAGCTTTAGTAGATAATCAATTTCGCTTTTGAGTCGATGATTTCTATTGCTTCACGTCAGTGCTCGAAGTGAGGCGGGATGGAGTGGGATGCCATCCCAGAACTTTTAAATAATAGGAAATCCGTCCTACTACTTAATAGGAGAGAAAAATGCGTTCCGGAACATGTTTTTTAAAATTTAAAAAAATAATTGGTTTTACGATATTAATTATATTTAACGTTTAAAAATTTTACTTCTATTTTAATTTCTTTGCTTTATTGTTTTTTTTTAAATTTTCTTTCAATAAAGTACAAATTTTTGAAATTGAAAATAGAAATGGCTTAGCTTCAGTTCGTTTCAGTACGCTTAATAAACATAATAATGTTTAAAAATTCTGGGCCACCACCTATTTATATTCAATTTTTAACGTGCATCACTTATTACGTTCAGACCCCTAATTCTGGAGGCTCAAAATAATCATCAAATACATTATGAATTTCTTTAATCATATCTGAAGCTAAAACGCTTCTACCAAATTTTTGAAATGCGTATGAGTTACTTTGTTTTATTAAATAACTGGCTGCTGATATAGCTAATAGTTCTGGGTTTTGCTCTTCAGATTCTAATGCCCAATGATAAAACGTAGCTAAAGCCCCGGCTAGTAAATCACCTTGTCCACCGCAACGGCGACCGGAACCACCGGGCGGTAATTCAAATTTTTCATTTGTTTTTGGCATATATATTCTATCATTCCGCCCTTTTTCCAAAATAGTTACACCAGTTCCAAAAAGTTTTATACGATTCGGAATCAATTCCCGTTCGCTACCGAATAACCTTGAAAATTCAATAGCATTGGGCGTTAGTATAACTTTATCATAATTTTTTATTAAATCATTATGTTGTTGTATCAAATGAAGTCCGTCAGCATCGATTACTAGAGGTTTAGATGCTTTCCGAGCAAATCTAATTATTTGTGCAACAGTTTGCATTACGTTTCTGTCACGTCCTAATCCTGGACCTACTACCAAAACATGTAACCTTTCCAACCATGGTTCAATTTGATCCAAAGCATTCTCAGAATCCAATAGTGGATGAACTATAAGCTCTGGACTATAAGATTTTATAACAGGTGCTGCAGAATGTTGACCTGAAATTTTTATTTATAATAATTGTTCATTCAAAAGGTAAAAGTAAATAAGTTACAAAATATATGAACAAGGTCAGCACCAACTCTTAAAGCACTTATAGCAGCAAAAAATGGTGCTCCTGTGTATTCTAAAGAACCACCTATCACTCCAATTCTTCCAGCTTGCCCTACAAATATAACTTTTTTTAATTTTGTACATATGTATGCATGTGTACATGATCACATATACAAATTATTACGATACCTTTATGTTTATCATCATTTAATCTTGGAACAATACGTTTTATGCTTTCTAACAATGACTTAATTTCAATTGTGTTTTCCTGCATTATTCCTGAGTAATACTTTATAGCAAAACTTTTTTTAAAAAAATTCTTCGAAATATTATAAACCGGCGAATAATTTAATGTTAAATATTTTGACATTTTAGTTATTATGGTGAATACATGAGAGTTATTTTTAATACATACTCTTAGTGTGGACGTTTTGCAATTTTTTCTTTACTGAAGCTGATTTGATAGTATGTATGTATATCACGGCTGACAGAAATCATTTTTGTTATGTCAAGATGTGAATACATATTAGAAGTTAACAGCCTGATCGTGTATGTCGTTTTTTTACTCACTTTTTATTTACTTTCAAATCAGAATTCTCAGTATTTTCTAATAGATATTTTACTTTTCCAATAAGATTGTCCATTTCTCCAATTGGATTTTTTGCTTAAATTATCGACTGAAAGTTTCCCTTTCAAAAACAAAGTGAATAAATTTTGTATGCATTTTAGAAAAAAACGAGATACGTAATATCAAATAGATCTTCTCACCCGAAAATTACATTACACAAGTATATGATAGTTACTCTCTTCTCACTTTCCGAGTAAAATAGCAAGATAGACGATCAGGTCCTAAGAGTAGCCATCTACATTTTAAATATTTAATGTATATTTGGCAATACTCTAATACTCGTAAAAAAAATATTGTACTCGCATTGGATTCAACAAAGAAAAAAGCCAATGAAAAAGCAATATTGATCTAAAAACCTATGTACATACATTTTCTCATTAAAATTATAAGTTAAATTGTTTTAATATATAAAAAAAAAGTCATTTTTCAGGATCTAATTGAATTTCAAAAAAGTGAGTGACCGTGATGTATTCGTATAATATAATTTCCAATTCGAAAGAAAAACCAAAACTTTACTCCAAAAAATGTACATATTATATACTAAACTACCAAAACTTTACTCCAAAAAATGTACATATTATGTACTAAACTTAGTTACCATTCAATCATTTTCTATTAGAAAATGACAAGTTCAGTTATTATTTTGATTGAATGAAATGAAATTGTAACAAAAAAGTGGGTTCTTCAAAAAATTTGAAAATTTTTAAAAATTTTCCAATATATTGAATTACATATTGGAATAATATTACATTATAGAAACCGATACAAAAATTAGAAAATAGTTTAGTAAAATTATAAAAAATAATGCCTCGAAGCCAGTTTTAAAATAAGTCAATTAAACAAATAGCTAATTTATTTTTTGACAACATCAAAGAATATAATTCTTAGGGTCCAGTTATATATTAGACTAAATCTACAATTTAGTCTACAATAAAATCTAACGAGCATTTACACATCAGATTCATTTTATTGTCAGACTTTTGACATGTGTCAAATATTAAAAAAATAAAAATCGTTGCAACATTTTTTTTTAAATTTATATTGCGCCATGTTATTTTAAAAAATTTGATAATAATCGGATATGTTTGTATTTTTCTAATCAGATTTCATCTAATGTCAGACTTTGATTACACATCAGATTTTGGTCGAATAAATCAGATATGTAACAGACACTTTTAAATTATTACGGCTTGTCCAAAAATTAAATAACTTCTTAGTGAAAAAAATTCTTACGAGATAAAATTTAATTACAATGTCGCGCGGCCTCATGAAGAGATCTATTATGTTGGTAAATTCATAAATTATTAGAAACTGTGTTTGATTCTGATGCTTTTTAACATATTCAAAAATATCATATTCTTTTTATAATTTCTTTTTCTAAATTTTTATTTTAAGACTTGTACCCAAAACCTGTACTATTCCATTTTTCTCAATGAATGCTCTATTGTATTCTTTTGTATACTAATGTAAAACCAACTGTTGATATTTTTCGGAAAACAAATTATTATTTTGAAAAATTAAATTACAGTAAATGTCAGAGATTCGATTGGTACTTAATGAAAACATAAAATATGTAGGTAAAAAGAGGAAAGAGAAAAAGGGCAAGTAAAATAAAGTGCCGAGCACATCTTGAAAGAATAATAACAACAAAAAACATAAAGACTAACAACAAACCGACCGCCAGGCAGGCAGAAAAGAGAAAAACGAAATGGATAAGGATAAATAAAGACGAGAGAGAAAGACACGAACAAGAAAAAACAAAAATATTATTACAAGTTTAAATTACACAAAAGTCTACATCTATGAGAACTCTTATTAATAGCAGGATTAAATACCAAAAATTAGAATTAAGAGAATGCAACTTTTTAGTGACCAGCTCACCCCTACCATAATCAGTAGAGAGATAGGGAACATTATACAATTGAACAGATCTAATATTTCTTACGTTATCCCTAATAAAAACTTGCGCCAACAAAGAAGAAGACACAAGACCCCCGACACGAGCTGATGGATAAACACTATGTCAAGGACAACCCTACGCGGTCTCAAGGACAAATCGATCAACGTCAACCTAGCTTCATACGACGGCAATCTAAAAGGATCACACCAGCCCAAACCTCTAACCAAAATGCAAAAAATTTCCTCTGAGCAGATTCAATATGAGAAATTTTTCACGAAATGGCACCCAAATCTGACAAGCATACTCAAGAATTGGCCTAACAAAGAACACATACAAATGGTTCGCAACATACGAATCAATAAACTCCCTAGCCCACCTTATTACGAAACCCAGCTTCGAATTATCCCGACCAAGGATCATATTCAAATGAGCACCAAAATCCAGTCTGTTTAGTTCCAAGTCATTTACCGGACACCAATCCCAAAAACCTCCGAACGAACGAACCATCCTCAAAAACTTGGAGTCATCTGCGCGGAACCCACAACAGAACGAAAAATAGCCTTAGTTGCGACTAGAAAAAGTGTGGAAATGGTTCAGCGACTAGAAAAGCATGGGAGCAGAACGGAAAGAAACCTGACAAAACCTGCAAGTTAAATAGGAATAAACCCACATAAAGCTATGAAGAGAAAAGCAAACGTCAGCCGACATTCTCAAAATAACCTGGTTCGGAATAGTATCAAAGGCCTTACTAACATCTGTAAAAATAACATCGACCAGAAAATTCGAATGAGGATGGATAGCCATCAAACCTATTTTTAGAATTGATAAATTCAAAAAACTTCCGCAGATTATCAAATATACTACGCCGAACATCATTAAGATATGCCCCATACAAATCACCTGTCAGAGACCTAGGGCAAGCAAAACCTGGTATAATCCGTCAAGGCCTCAAAACCATAATGCCCGCCAAACAGAATTTCTAACGTTCCTAACACGCCGCAGCTCAGGGGTATACCAAGGAGGCGAAGACACACGTATCCTATATATAACAACTGGCACAGAAGCACACAAGCAATCGAAGACACATAAATAAAACTTGCGCAGACAATCTTCAACATTTGCACCAGCCAAGAAAATACAGTCAAACTCAACCGAGCGCAGCAAATCACTCACTAACCCAAAATCGACCCTCCTAAAATTATAGCTGAAGCCTTGTTCTCCTCGGACACAACAGCAGAATCAATCATGCCGACAGAAAACAAAATAGAGACAGGCGAATGGTAATCATCCGGACAAAAAATAAACTGGTCACAAGAAAGCACAGCAAAACTACCAGGATCAGAAAAAAAAAAAGATATAGCTGCCTACCAAACCTGTTACAAACACCACTAATCTGCTGCAAGTCACAGGAACCAATATCATCGAAAAACAACACAAACACAAAACACCCACGAACACAAAACTATCCAAAGAATTCATACCATCAAAAACGGATGCAACCTGAGCAGACACAAGATTATACAAGAACGAGAAAACCACACCAATTTTCACACACACAGATTCAAACACATCGCAAGGCGGAAGAGACCTAAGCCAAGACAGGAACGTCGACCTCACGGCCAACAGAACCCCAGCACCCCTCGAACCTACACTTTCCAGCTTATCCGGCCCAAACACCTGAAATTAGACGAAAAAAGCTCCTCGCTAAAAAGCTCACCATTAAGCCACGTCCCAGTAAGGGCCACGATATCATGCGGAACAGACTGCGACAGCAAGTCGCATCCATAGCTTTAGTGCGAAGACCGCTCACAATCTGATAATAGACACTACATTCTTCCCACCCAACAGCGAACCCCCAACTAGTTTTTTGAGTCAGCCCGTACCTCCGAACCCTCGGGGCAATTCCGTGGCATCAACAACCGCTCAAAGTGCTCCTCAGGAACAGCAAACCTAAACGATGCATAATGACCAGCCGCCATCTGGGTAACTGCAACCCCCGCACGACTCGAACACATCATCTGGCTCAGTGATGTTATAAAATTTCTTGTTCAACAAATAAAATTTATAATTGAGACCTATTTATTTTATAAAAGAAAAATAAATGCTGAAAGAAGTAAAATAATATAAGTATTAGCAATTGAATAAAATGGAATGTGTTTATTTAATGCGCAAAGCGCTATTGATAATTTTGCTGAACTTAAAACAATAAACCTTTGCACGTGTACTTTACTATTTTACTCGCCAAGTGCAAAGAAAGTAAATAACAATCATGTATTTGTATAATGAAATTTTCGAGTGAGAAGAATAATATACACCCAAGATCGGTATCTTAGTTCAAATGTTTTTAGAAATTTTAATTTACATTTAGAAAATTTATGCAGGTGAATAATAAATCATAATAACTGATACAGACGTACAGTCATAATAACTGGTTATTTTAACGTGACTGGGTAATAAAATAATAATACACAAAATAAGTTAGGAAATATAATAATTGATATGGTTTCAAACAAGTAATAAATGAAAGTACTAGAAAAGTAAAAAACTCTAAATCGCGCTTATTTTGGCTATGTCACGGATTGATCAACTTTTGAGCTATAGCAGACCTCGGGAACTTGTTTTTTTTACGAGCCGATTTTACATTTTTACACATATGAAGAGAAATAATGAACTAATTTCCATGAAATTTAATATTGAAATTTGGGTTGTTAAAAAAATGACCTCGCAAATCTCAGAAAGATCAGGACTCGGAAACCGAACTAGGGGTCGATTTTACATTTTTTATCAAATCTACTGAATTATTGATGGAATTTGTTGAAATGTAATACTTGTGTATTGAAAAATAAATAACTGGCTAAAAATTAAATAAATGTTTATAATAAAATATTTATTAAGTTTTATAATAATTAAACTAAATAAATATTTTATTATAATATTCTATTATACACTACTAAATAAATATTTAGAAATGTAATTTGTTAAATTAAAAAAAAGTTGAATTAAGTAGTATTTAAACAATAAATAAATAAAAATAAATAAAATAAAGAATTTTTGTTTGCTTATTGATTTTTTTTAACTAAAATGAACTTTAAAAACAGAAAGAGACACATTCAAAGTAATCGAGGTGTCAAAAGCATGATAAAATTAATGTCTTTACATATAACAAGTCCCAATATTCAATTTTTTTTACGAAATATTACGAATTTTTGGCTTCTTTCCTATTTTTTTCTTTAAATGCTGCTGATCGTGATCATATTTCTTATTATTTTTTCACGTAAAAAAGAGTTTAATATTTTAAAAAATCTCAGGATATTATACACATTTTTTAAAAAGCTTCCCACTTAAATTCTATTGCACGAAAAAGAAAGAAAGGTAGGAGGAAAGAAAAAATGATAAAAAATTTCAAATTCATATTTCAGTATGGTTTCAAATGTTAATGAGGAAGGATGTATGATTTTTCATGCTCATTTTGTATTTCCCAATAAGGTAAGTTGAGTAGTGTCGGCTAACAAAAATGTTAGTAAAAGTAATACAGGATGACACATTTCAACCATTTGAATTATCTCATTTCGGTTATTTATACGTTACTTATAAAATTGTTTCTAATAATTTTAGTTAGTTTTTAAGTTATTAAAAATAAGTATGTGTGTATGTACCTACTTCCAATCAATTTTTTTTAAAATAATTATTTTAAAACTATTTCAAACATGTTATATTGAGTACTTCAAAAATTTTGCTGTGCAATTCTTTCATATTTTATTACCAGGTAAACAAGAGCAATCTATTTATAAAATGGCCCTGCCTGTGTATGAATCTTAATAGTAAACGCAAACGGACAAAAATTTACATCAGTACCTACACCTGTCATTTTACAATCGAAGTTTTTGAGTCATTTGATATTCCTTAGATACTATTTATTTCAAAAATAAAAAAGATATTCGAATCCGGTCATAAAAATATATTATTGTCTTTTCCAAAACCTTTTAAATATTTTTTTGCTTAGGTAATATATTAAGTTTTAAAAAATTTTTTCACAAATAGAGGTAAAATTTAGAAGTGTATACAAAATTTGTAATTAAAAAATAATATTTGATTGTATTTTATATCATTTATTATAATTTCAACTTGACACCACAGTTACTTCCCATATTTTGAGTTAACTTACCCTATGAGAAAAAAAAGCTGTTCACCTAAAAATAATGAAATGCTTTCAGTAACATATAAAACGTTGAAGGTAAAGGTTGTGCTTGTTGTTTTTCCGCTGTTTCAAGAATTTTAAAATAATTACGAATGAAAATATTAATATATTTTTTTGTTTTATCAAATATATTTTCTAAATTTTACCTGCTTTATAATAAGTGTTATTTTATTTTAATATTTCTTCTCAAAAAATAGCCACTTCGATTTAAAACAACCCATATAAAATAAGATTGTGCTTTCAAGTTTCTCTCTCAGCATTGGGACTTGTTAGATATAAAAAAGACATTAATAAAATACCTAATAAATACAACTTGAGCTTTGCTTTGTTATATAGAGTTAATTACGTACATAAATTGAATAAACCCAAAAAATATTAGTTTCTGTTCTGAAAATGTCAAAATTATAATAGAAATGGAATGTTTTACAACGATTCCTACTTGCTGCTTATCGTAGAGGTTTTTTGAGTATTTATCGAATGCAAATTGAATGTTGAATATACTTATTTATTTTACCTTCATCTCGAAAAACGGTTGACAGAATATAGAGATATTCTTGCTATGTCAATTCTTAAAGTGACAAAGATTTGATATTTTATCGAAGTCAAGATATACATACATATATTGATTTAATTGCTTTTTTTTGTGCGAAAAGTTGGTGTTCATTTTTCATTTAATTGAGGGTTATTAAATGGACAAAAATAATAAGATAAAAATATTTAGAAAATTATACTAAAAACATATCTTATTTTTCACATTAATACATCTTGTTTTTGGATCCTTATTAAATTGTTACATGTATACATTTATTAAAATATGTCGTTTCTCATATTCACAACTTTAGTTTTACTTCAAATATCATCAGGACTCGTAAGTTCAACAAGGTTTACTTCTTTTTTAAAATATAATGAGTGAATTTTAGTGCTATTTGGACTACGACAGCTGGTTAAGTATAGAATTGCAGCATGCAATTGATCCAGAAAATTTAGACAAATTCACTTTCCGCGGTAATGTTACGATTCCTAGCTTGAACGTTGGGACGTCAAACATTGTTCAGGAGCCTTTAGGTTTTAATGACAGGCAAAATTTAAAAGTGCGCCTTCTATTTTAAGTATATTAAGTACGTCTTTTTGCATAATTTTATGTGCTTTGTTTATAATTTTTTAGAGACTTGCGCAAACGAATCAATTTTACAGGTTGAAAGGTATTGTCCTTTTTAACGATGGTACAAAAACTACTTATTTAACATCTTCAAAAGCATGTACATTGGCAACATCTCAACTAACGGATATTCTTTGGATATCCGTAGATAGTATGGGGTTTGTAACTGCTATAACTCAAACAGTAAGTGGAAGCGCGGATTGTACTGGAACGAATATTTCAACAGAAGATCTTGAAAATTTTAATACTGATATTTTGGTTAAGCATATGGAATTGGCTCCGGTGCCGGACACAACAACTTTTATTCAAAAGATGGAAAGGGAACGAGAAGCTCGGGAAAGAGGTGAAATTCGCGATAACAGAGGCTTTTTCGCTAAATATGTAAGAAACCACAAGTTTAAATGTGTAAATTATAAAATTTTTATTTTTTAATGTATAGTGGATGTATATTGTGCCAGTAATTATTCTCATATTAATATCTGGAACAACAAATCCGGAGGCTCAAGCTTCAGGCGGCCGTTAATGTGTATTTGCATAAAATTAGGAAAATATATGTATGATTAATGATTTCAATCAAACGGTATTTTAATTTTAAATTAAAACGGGCTATGTAAATAAATTATTATATGTATGTAATTTTCGATAAACCATTGTTATTTTTAATGTCAAAACTTCTTTAACGGTTGTTTAATCAAGAAAAGAAACTTGGAAATTAAATGCAACATATCAAATAAATCAAATCTAAATCTATATCTTCGAAATAAATCAAATAAAAAATTTTATATCACTTTAATTTCATTACAAGGTTATTGTGCAAAATTTTGTTTGAAACTAAATGAAAAACAAGATTTCCGCGATTTGATATTTGATTATTGTACAAGCACTTAAATTTAAAAGTTTTGGTAAGATTACCAACCGAATTGTAGCTATATTAAAAAAATGTTAAGCATATGGAATGTTCTATTATGAATGTCCTACTATGTAATGCTGCTTTCGCTGAACGATTTCCACATCTAAAATTTTAATACTATGTAACTCGAATATCGCAAATATATCTAAAATTTACACCTAAGTATATAATCGAATATCGGTATGCGTAAGTAGCGAAAGTGGAACTACAGAATGCTACTTACGCATACATTTCATTCACTTGCTATTTTGTTAACATATCTTATTGCGAAAGTCAAAGTTCTCGAATAAATAAAACTAAACTTTGTAAATGTTACATTTATTTTGCTTTATTATATTAAAAAAACTTCCATTTCAAATTTACTGCATTTAACTAAATTTTTGTAATCAATAATTATAATTACAGGTCCAAATAAGACAAAAAACCATTCAAGTTACGATAATGGCAAAATTCACGCATTATGTCAAATTTGTTTCGCTTCTCTACTCCCGACCAAGTAGTAGGTCCCTGTAATGGCGAGGGACTGAATAAGCAAAGTTACATTTATGTTTTACGGCGGGTCTCTTGCTTCTTGAATTGCAGCCTGATACCTCAGCTAACGACAGGTCAAGTTCCAAGTCAAGGTGGAACAGTATATGCCTGATATCCAGAGTCATTAATAAGCGGACTATGGTTACCAGGCGCCATCCAATTATTAACGACAATAACAAAAACGTTGGCAAGAAAGACAACAGGGACATCAAGGCCAAGAAAATGATCGGTACTCAAAGTTCTTCGGAACCAGAGCGCGTTGCAAGAGGAAGATATCGGGAAAAGGTCTTCCTCTTGGACTTCCTACTGCTCCGTCTCGGTTCCGTGCCTATTTCTGTCAGGACAACGTCATATTGAACTGGCCAGTGAGGTCCTGAAGACGGCTGTCACTTGTGCTTATCATCGAGCCAAACCGAGACGGAGCAGTAGGAAGTGCCCGTGATTAAATGATTCAGCGGTTAGAATAAAAACCAGAAAGCTCTTTAATAAGACAAATTCGTGGGGTTCGTGGGAAGAGTATAAAAGTAGAAATACAATAGATTAGTAAGAAAAGTGAAAAGAAACTCATGGGGGTGTTCTACAAGTGCATAAATAAAGTCCCCAGCAGTTCGTGTCTTCACAGGGTGCTTTCCAAAAAATATTCCAGCAGGTCAGGTCTAATGGAATGTCTGAGAACGGAAAGCAGGCGTTACAGCCGAAGGCCTCATCGCACTTTTCTGACTCGAGGGTTTTTGGAATCATTCGGATGCAGGTTGGGATTGAACCAAGGGCATCTTGGCCCGACAGAGATTACTGGCAACGGCCACGTTCGGTTTTCACGGTGGATAGGATTAGGTGGTCTGTTTTCTCTTTCAGGCCTTTCAAATCTTCAGGTGATGATGGGCTATATCCAGCCTTTTCGCAGAAGGGGTACATTCATCAAGTGTGAAGGGGTAGCCAAGATAGCGTACATTCCGAAGACAGCAACCATCCAAGCTCTTTTCGCCCTATTAGTCTTTCTTCTTTCCTATTGAAAACGATCGAAAAGGTAGTTGATAGATTTATACGCAAGGATGTATTGGGAGCCAATCCCTTGCATGAATCTCAGTATGCCTCAGAATCGGGAAAGTCAACTACGCTCGCTCTGCAGGGTCTAGTGGAAGTCCTGGAAATCATAGCTGGCACACTCCTTGTCCCCGCTGCAAAAGGGTGTGCGAACGGCGGGGTTCAAGGATTTTGAGACACGATTTTCGACCTTTTACAGTAAACCCTACGTTTTGTGGAAACATGATGGAGATTCGTGGGATTAAATATAAATCCTGCAAAATCACCTTGGAAGTCTTCACCAGGCGAAGGAGTAAGAATAAATTAGGGAGCCCAATTCTCCCTAGCTAGTATTGGCTATTTTAGGGAAGTGAAGTAACTAGGGGTAACTCTGGAAGACCGCTTCTCCTCGAATACCCATATAAAGAAAGTCATTGGGTGCGCTATAGCGGTCTTATGGACATGTAGAAATTTCTTTGGCAGCACCTGGGGCGTCAGTCCCCACGTCCTACACGTCAGTCGTGTAGTGCCGCTCAGTTCAAGGTTCAACTGACAAATGTGCAGGCCAAACTGCAGAAGCTTCAGAGGGCTTTGTTTCCCGGTATTTAAGGCGTATGGTACGCTGACGAGTCCAGAATGGGGTCGGATGTGGGCCCGGACACGCGTAATATTTGAATCTGGGTCCATATTGTACGGTTTTTCAAGCTGAGATACATATAATAGAAATGTGGCTGAGAGTCAAAAATAAAAAACCGTAGCATTTATATATTGTCGAACAGTAGGGCGACGCGGCAGACACTCCGGCTGGCTCAGATTACATTCAAGCTGGTCTAAAGCTGTTTTGCTTCATCCCTGAAATTGACATCAACAAACAGAATCAACAGAGTCACGCTCAGTTGGGATCTATTTTTGGTTAATAAATATTCGAATAAAAAAATATACTACATCAAATTTTTGAGTTATAGAAACAAATCTTTATTATAAGTTCGTATAGGATTTTAAAATATTGCTTCAATAGCCATCTTAACTTATAAACTATAAATATCAATATTATTATTTCAAATTATCAAATTAGTCATTCCTATTAATATAAAATATAGTTTTAACAACAGTTTATATGTTTGATTGAATAGAAATAGTACAAAATTACAAGTATATATTATTATTTTAACTTTAATTCAAAAAATGTATACATGTTCAAATTTTCCGCATTGAATTTAGGTTTATGTTTAAGAAAGCAAGAGTTCAAATAATTTTTAATAAATTATTATTTTCTCACATTATCTTTTTCGTGATATGTTGCTCTTTTGAAGTTTTGTGTTGAAAAAATATTAAATACAAAAATTAACCAGTCATACTTTTCAATTAATTACACAGAAAAAAAAAATTAACTTTTGAACGTTACTAATAAATGCATTAAGTTGAGGTTAAGTACAACATTTACCTATTTTTAAATCATATTTTCTTAATATTAACTTTGTGAAAGACTAGAATAAAGCAAATATATTTTAAAAGTGATAAAAATTTAATCAGAAAGCAAAGTAGAGAAGGAAATATACCTAGTGTATGTAACAACATTGAAAACTATTAAAATTATATATAAAATTAAATAATACTTAAATATAATTTCTGCTGATGCGAAACTAATTTCATTTAACAAAATGAACTTTAACGTTTAACATTAATTTTATCACTTAGTTTAGTTGTGTCGTAAAATACTTAATTTATTTTAGATAATCGAGGTTTTTGTCATAGTTTTGAAGTGCTGTTATATTTACGAAGCCTATGTTCCATTTCATGTTTGAGTTAGATTCGCTACATTCATTGACATAAACCTTACGCACTTTTGGTGCAGCTTCTAAACATCGCATATTTTTACCTTGCACAAGCCACTTTGACTTTGCTTCATAATACCATAACTGATTTCCTTGTTGACCATGGCAAGCATATAAAATTACAGGCGCATTTTTAGTATTTCGTGAAACATCTAAACATTCAGTTTTATGTCGAACACGTATATCTTTATGCCAACTTAAGGCCCAATTTTGATTACTATGAGGTTGCGTCAAATTTTGAGCGCATGGGTACAAACCAATTTCTTCATTGAGTCCGCTACTTAAAGTATCAAGGCACAAATTCGGATTTGAATAACTTTGGATTGCACCAAATGCAAAGTCTGGTGGTTCAATGGGTGGATATTTTCTAGGTAAATCAAAAGCAATTTCTTGCATAAACCATTTGAATGATTTGCATTGCAAATTTCTTCTAATAGCTTTTTGTTTGGTTAAATCTCCAGCATCTATTCTGTTGTATCGTTCAGGATCGCGGTCATAAAGGTATTTGGCATATTCATCCATCCATACTTCAGCTACTCGTTTATAATTCTAAAATAAAATTATTATTTTTTAAATCTGTTGACTGCAAAGTTATCAATGTTATTTTTACTTTATGTAGATAATCATTAGTCCTGGGATTTTTAAAGGGTACTGCGCCTCTATATATGTGACCAACTCTTGAACAAGGCGCATCAATCATTTCGCCCCCACACATCCAAATTTTAAAACTTAACTCGTATTGTTCTCCACCCCAAATATCCAAGCCTTCATCGTAGCCACCGAGTTCCCAAAAAAATTCTCTTCCGATAGCAAATAAGCCCCCAGCCATTACAGGACTTCTAAACGGCTTACTGCGATCTATTAAGTCTTCAGGTAACAAGGGCAATCTTTTATAAAAAAATTGCCAGTCAAAAGCTCCTCTAGCACCCTCATCTTGTGCCCGATATTCAAAAGTTGTGTGATCTATTACGTCAATAAATGGGCAAACGCATGTTTTAGGATTCAAAGCAATCGGTTCTAATAGTGGGGGTAACCAATTATAATTAGCTTCAATATGTGAATCTAAAAATATGAGAACATCAGCTGATGCTTGCCTTGCTCCAGCTAAACGGGCGAGAATAAGTCCACTTCTTTCTTTAAGATGAATTAACCGAACTTTAGGCAATTTTTCCTCTACAAATTTATCCAGTTGTGTACCTAAAAATTCCTTGTCACTACAATCATCTACTAAAATTATTTCTTTAATCAAATGAGACGGAGAGCGATTTAGACAGCTATAAACAGATCGAAGTAGTGTACTCCAATGTTCATTATAAAATGGAATAACAATACTGACTGAAGGCAAATTCTTCAAATATTTCTTTGAGTTACAACTAAAAATAAAAAAACATGTTCTTAGATTTCTTAATATACAAAATTAATTATTTGAAAATTAAAGTTACCTACCCCTCAAAACGGATATCTGGTAAAGATCTGTTCAGTGAAATTTTATCACTTAATAAGCCATTGAAACCATTTTGACTAAATAATAATTTCCCTTTCTCAGCTTCATGCAATGGAAGTTTAGCAGATTTTCCCTGTTCTCCTATTCCAGTTTTGAGTTTTTCTTCCTCCATATAATTTCTGTCATGCCAATCTATTCTTTCCAATTGGTTATGTTCTTCTAAACTTGGTAAGAGTTTTGCTTTTTTGGCACTTTTAATATTATGAACTATAGCAAGTGGGAGATTTCTACTATCTACGTAATCATTTAGAATTACATTTTGATCAAGAGCTTTTTCATTAGCCAGAACTTCATGCAGTTCCATTAGATGATCTTCGTTCCATTTATTCCCCCTATCTATATTTGATGTTTCTGATGATATAACCCAACTAGATATAATTAGTCCAATAGTGATTGCAATGAATGTGACTACTAAAAACTTGAGCAAGCATGCAGTTCCACGTCTCCTCATTTTGAAATTTTTTTATTTTAATTTGTGGAAACTGTATTATTATACATATGTACATATATCAAATAAACTCGTCAATAATTAGTCGTTTTATACCCTCTATATGCAACATTACAGGACCATTCTGAAAACACGATTAGAGAAGGTAACATATTAGGCACACATGTATACATATATAATTTCCTTACGAAAATTAAAAATAAAATACATATGTACATAGGTATGAAATTTGCAAAATCTGGTCGTTTTATGACGTGAATAAGGTTTGAAGTTAATATGTTAATTTTTTGAATAGATACTATATTAAAGTGTAGATTTTACTTCAAAAACTTGGAAAATCATTAGACTTTTTCATATTTTGTGTAGAAAATTTTCTTTCAAATACATGTGAATATCCCAAATATAAACCCAAATGCTTGAACCTGCGATTTTACTGAATTAAAATGCGATTATTCAAAAGAGGAGCATTGTCTGAGATAAGGAAAGGGTAGGTAAGTAGGTACTTTCTACAAGTTAATAATCTCAAATTAAAATCTATCCATTATTTGTATCTAGTATGTATGTAAATAAATTTTTGAACCTCGAAATTGAGAAATTGCGATAACGAAGATTTTAAAGGAAGTTCTCAAATACCTACACATATTTGCTGTGTGTTGCTAAGTTTATAAGAGTGAATTATTTCAATTGTTACATTACCTTTTGATATATTCATTTATAAAAAACAATTTATAATATGAATATTGAAACACGTACTCTATATCAGCTAATGAATTTTTTTAAACATTAAATTTTTTTTTGATATTTATGTATGTATGCACTATTTTGTTGGAATTGCATAGCAAGCAATTTGATAAAATTGAAATGTTCTGAGTTCCTATCTTACGTATCAATATTCCTTATACAAATTATACATTAACCTTATACAAATCCCTCTTGACATTACAAAAATTTTTAACATTTTTTGGATGTCAGGATATATATTGCCAGTGTTCCCACTCGGTTAAAACGATATATATCAAATTTCTAGAAAAATATGTACTCAAAATGTATCCAACCTCTTAAAGTAGAATTATTATACTAACTCGTCTAATTTTTTGAAAATTAACTTTTCAGCAATATATTAAAACTCTTATTGTCGAATAATAAACTAAATTATTATTCAACAATAAGAGTTTTGCTATTTATAGTAAATTTTTTCCGAAATCACATTCAATTTCAATTACATTTTAAGAGCCTGATCGTGTATTTCGCTTTTTTAATCACTTTTTATTCACTTCCAAATCAGAGTTCTCAGTATTTTCTAATCGGTATTTTACTTTTCCAATTAGATTGCTCATTTTTTCAATTGGATTTTTGCGTTTTTTCTCAAATTATCGACTGAATGCCTCACTTTCAAAAATAAAATGAGTAAATTTTGTATGCATTTAAAAAAAAAACAAGGTACGCAATGCCAAATAATTCTTCTCACTCCAAAATTACATTATACGAGTACAAGTATATGATAGTTACTCACTTTTCGAGGAAAATAGCGAGATAGACGATCAGCCCTTAAGATTACTTTTTTAAATTGCAAAAGTATTGGATATAATGACTTATATGGGAATTTAGCAAACTAATTTTTTTAAGTGTTTATTTTACAGTGCAACAGGTAGAAAATTTTGAAGAGTTCGTTTTTAACAATTGAAATAACATTTTTCCTTTGTCTGGTTTTTATTATTTATTTTTCAATAAAGAACTAAACATTTTTTTGTTTTTATAAAGAACTAAAAATTTTTTTTTGCAGATATGATATTATTATTTTCAAATTACAAATGGCTAAATTTTATTGAAAATTGAACAGAAAGTCTGAAAGTAGTTCAAATTGAAATAATATGAGTGCATTTCAGTTAGCTGTCAAGATTTTTGTATTGTTTGTAGGTTTCTTGTCAGTAACTTGCTTAAATACGAATTCCAATAATAGCAAATCAATTTTGAATGCTGGATTAAATTTGGGTTGAATACTTGACATAACAAAAATATCTGTATTTATGTCAGCCGTGGGTTGAATAATCAATTGAGTAGAAAAGGGAGAATTATAAAATTCTCATTTTATATTTTGAAATGTCAAAACTACAATTACCCGAATTTTAAGTACTTACTTCAATTATTATATACTTAGGGATTGGTGAACTTGATTTATGAAGTTTTTTTCAGTCATTTTCTTATAATAAAATTTATGGTACCAAAATTTGATTACTTGATGGTGTTGTACATATGTACAAATAAATAGGATATCAATATAAATATTTGCAGTTTATAAATTACTATTCACTTTAAAAACAAATAATAAAACGATAATATGGGAGTAACCGGCCTTTGGAAATTAATAGAACAATCAGGAAAGGAAGTTTCAATAGAAACTTTGGAAAACAAAGTTCTTGCTGTTGGTAAAACATTTTTCCGATATAAATTTTTGGGTTTAATACAAATACCAAGGTGCACCTCTTGCTGTTATTTAACGTTAGTTGCCTTCAAACAAGCGTTATTTAACCTTATTAAAATGTAAAAGTCGTTTTTCAGCTCTAATTTCATAAAATTATTTTTAATTGTAATAATTTTACACTTTTGATTGTTGTATATGAAGTTTTTAGAGTCCTGAATTGAAATAAAAAAGATGGTAAATTATAAAATACTAATTTAAAAAAGAAATTTAAAGAAATTGCTTAAACGAACCTGGTGATAAATTATCCAAAACGAAATCGCAGTTTTAAAAACAAAATACCTGTAAGCAGTTAAAACTGAAAATATTCACAAATGAAAATTGAAAATTTAACAAAAGTTAAAAATGCAGAAAAAATTCTTCTGATTGTGTAAAATTACAATCAAAGTGAATATCAAGCTACCTGCAAAAAAATCAAACGGAAGTTTAATAATATAATAAATATTTTCTACAAGTTTCGCGTATTACATCAGTTTATTAATTTTCGGGGTATCTTTGCTATGTTTGATTAAAAATCTGAAAAAAAAAACAATATTCTATTTTTTTAAGGCAAACATATTCATATAAATTTTATCACATTTTAGATATTTCAATATGGTTACACCAGGTTATTAAGGGCTTTCAAGATAGAAAGGGAAATGCTTTGCAGAATGCACATTTACTTGGTCTATTTAATCGCCTTTGTAAATTACTCTTTTATAAGATTAAACCAGTTTTCATATTTGATGGATCAGTTCCCATTTTGAAACGCGAAACAATTGTATGAACAGAGCCTACAATATCAATTTGTGAGCATATATTTAACTTTTTCTTTGTATAGGCGAAACGTCAGCAAGGACGTACTAAAATACTTAAGGAAGTTGAAAGAATACAAGAATTACTTCAAGAGGCAATGAGCAAAGAAAAGATTTTGAAACGTGCCCTTAATCCAGTCGTTTCAAAAGAATTGCCTTCTGATGCAAGTAACGAAAAAGGAAAAAAAGAAAACGATGAGGGCATATTTACAATTCCTGAGTATTTATCACCTACAAAAGCTGTAGAAGACCCCACTTCTTCATCAGACTTAAATACATCATTATCTGAAAATGATAATTTTGATGATAGTAGCATGCAACATTATTATAATATAAATCTACAAAGCATTGACGTGACTAGCTCACATTTTAAAAGTTTACCGGCTGATGTCAGGCTAGAAATTTTAGCGGACATAAGAGAAATGAGAAAACAACATTCTTGGGGGCGGTTGCATGAGATGCCAACTGAAAGTAATAATTTTAGTGATTTTCAAATGAAACGGCTACTGAAACGGCGTCAAGTGCAGGTCTCTTTGGAAGAGGCAGAAAAAGAATTGGAAGGAAGATGTTTAACTCTAAGTGAATTGGAAACATTTTTAAGTGAGCAAGGAATCGTTCAAGCTGAAAAAAGCGCTAAAAGTCGAATTAATTCTGATGCGAACACAAGGTTTTTATTAGTAAAAGATTTGAAAAAGGCTATTGAAAAAGCAGCTAAGTTGGAGCTTCCAAAAAACGACTCGACAGAAGTAGGTGTTGTTGTCAAAGAAGAAAAGAATATGAAAGATAATGAGGGGGATTTTAGTCAAGATGAAGTAATACTTGATGCATTCGGCATTAATACGAATAAAAGTTCAAGTTCAAATAAAAATTGGGATAAAAATAATTATATTGATACTGATTTAGAATTAGCGATTCAATTATCATTAAATCAAACAAATGCATACAATGACAAAGATTATCTTTCAACAAAAGCTTCCCTAAATAAAGAACAAAAAAACATGTTTAAAAATGCTACAGGATCAGCAAAAGATTATTTACTAAAGTACGGATTGATAAAAAATTTAGATGTAGATGAAATTGACAAAAGTCAAATTGAAATAACTGAAAATTATGATCTGTTAAATAAGTAAGTTTATAAAAAAATAATTATTCAATTTTGCGTTGTAATATATTATTTATAATTTTTAGCTTAAAACACAACACATCTTTAGTAGCTGAAATCAAGTGTGGTAAAACTAATCTTCAGTCTACTAAAAATAAGCCTGTATCAGACTGTGATTTGAAAAATCGAGAACAAAGTACAATTAATGAGGAAGCCACAATCGGTTCCGATTCTGATACAGATAATGAGGTTGATTTTGTTGAAGTTAATGACTCTGACAATATAATTGATAATTTAGAAAAAAATGAAATAATTCAAATTCAGCTTGATGCTACGAAAACTATTAAACCGCAAGACGATATGTTCGCTGATATATTTTTAAAAGAAAATATAAAATCTACAAATAAGAAATGCCATCTTAAAATTAAAACTTCTCAAAATAAGAAACGAAATATGACGGACATTTTGGAAGGACTTCAAAAAGAAGTTTTAGATGTAACAAAGTTAAGCCTGGATAATATAATTTCTGAAAACATTTTAATTGAAGTACCAGATTCACAAGAAACCGAATTTTCTAAAAATAGTATTTTGGAGAATAATTCTAAAATTTCAATTGAAATGTATTCTAGCTCATTGGAAAGTATAATTGAAATACCAGACTCTCAAGAAAATCATTTCGTCAGAAAGTTTGACACCAATTTAAAAGATAAAATTTCTGAAATACAGAGCCAAAATTCTTTTGAGTCTGATCGTGTAATTGAAATTCTTGATTCTCAAGAAAATGAACTTGATAAAAAAAATAAGATGAAACTTTTGGAACACTTTTCAAATGACGAATTCAAAACCGAAATTTTAAAAACAATTGAAACTGAGATTGATAAGTCAGATTTACAAAATGATGAAATTATTAATGAAGCAAATAAAGATTTTGAACTTTGCCAAAATAAAGTCTGTAACTCACAAAATATTGATATAAAAACAGACGATTCTGTAAAACTTCTTGAAGCAAATGAAGTGATAGAAATAATTGATGATAGTTTTGGGGTACTGCAGAAAACACCATCAAAGCAGAAAATAGAAGATTTTTTTAAAACGGAATACCTCATCAAAAAAACTCCTGGTAAGGATGAAGATAATAAATATATGACCACCCCTTCCAAAGCCGTATCAAATTCTTTATTAAAAAAGACGCCTGGGTCTAGTGGTAATAAGGAACCGAGGGAGGATAAATTAACAAAAAGCCTTTCGAAGGTATCCAAAGAACTTTTTGAACTCGAAAATAAAAAAAAAGAAAATAAAACCGAAAAGGAAGCAAAACTCATTGAAAAAGAATCAGCATTATTAAGAAATGGTAAAAGTAAAGAAGAATTAGAAATTTTGGCGACTAAGTTAGATCAAGAAAAGTATGAGTTAGAAAAAGAAAGAAACCGTCAAGATAGAATGGGCCTTACCATCACAGAAAAGATGAAAAGAGATTGTATGGATCTTTTAAAATTATTTGGTGTACCGTATATTGTTGCACCCATGGAAGCAGAAGCACAATGCGCTTTTTTAGGTAAGTTTAATAATAATGGGAAAAGGGTTTTGAAAAGTATTTATTACAAAAATTAAACAATATTGCTTTTCAAATTTTAGAAGCGGCTGAACTCACACAAGGAACTATAACAGATGATTCTGATATTTGGTTGTTTGGTGGGCGAACGGTGTATAAAAACTTTTTTGATAAGCAAAAGCATGTTGTTGAATTTAAAAGTGAACAAATTCATCGAGATTTCAGTTTAGATCGGGATAAACTTATCCAACTAGCTTTTTTAGTTGGTAGTGATTATACAATTGGTATTAAAGGTATTGGAACCGTCACGGCTTTAGAAATTTTAGCTGCATTTCCGAATATTCCTGTTGTAAAGAATGAAACTACTAGGGTAATGTCGATTCTCTCATCATTGCGAAAATTTCGGGATTGGTTTAATAATAATAAAACAGAAGGGGCTGACAGCGTTAAAGTAAAGCTAAAAACTCAATTAAAAAACATTGAAATTACTACTGGATTCCCAAACTTAGCAGTTGCTGAAGCATATTTACACCCTTCTGTTGATGATAGTGAAGAACCATTTACTTGGGGCATTCCAAATTTAGAAGAAATTAAAAAATTTGCTAGGAAATATTTTGGGTGGACTCCCGTGAAAACTGATGAGACTTTGAGGCCCGTGCTAAAGCGATTAGAACAGAAAAAGTCGCAAACTACAATAAAAAATTTTTTCAATGTTAAACATTCTGTATATAAAAAAGAAGTTAAATATAGTAAACGTGTTGAAAAAGCTGTTAAAGCCATGGTCAGAAATAATAGTTCCGGAGAAGACGAATTGGTTAAGAAAATTGAATCAAAAAAAACTCAAAAATCAAAAAAAGATAAAGATAGTGGTATTAATAGTTCAAAATGTACATCAAACCGCAAACGAAAAACCAAAAATGGGGCAAATATGATAGTGCAGCCCGACGAACCATCAACCGCAGAGCAAGCGTTTGATGGAAGTCCAGAAAAGAAAATTAAAACTACTGAAACTGATGATATCAAAAAACACTGTATTCCACAAGCAAAAGAAGTTATACCACAAAGAGAAAACGATATAAGTGAAATGAATAAAAGAAAAGAAGTAGCAAGTGCATTATTTAAAAGAAGTCGGGCAGCTGCTAAAAAAAGTAACAAAGTCTAGCTTTTCAAATTCTGTTTTATTAAAGGATTGTAATAAATTTTGTGTTATTTTTAATGATTTATTTTGTTTTGTACATATTCAGATTTTTTACTAAAAGAGTTGATTGTTTCATTAGTTAAAATCGTAATAATATTTTGTGTACTATGCCCTTCAAATACTCGTATCACAACGAAAAACCGAAATCTGATTATTTTCCGTTATATGTTCTTTAATTGTTTTCTAAATGAGTTTGCTCGTATATTTTATATGGCTGATTTTTATTTTACAAAAAACAAAAATCAGCCATGAAAAAAAAACAAAAAAAGGTAAGAGTTAATTGCGACAAATGTATTTGTGTTTATAGTAAAAAGTTTTTGCTCATAAGAAAAAAAACCAACTAACAAAAAAGGTTATCGTTTTTGAATGTTAGAAAAGTTTCAATTTTCGGCTTCTTATATTTCCATAACAGCAAGCTTTTTCAAACAGTTTTCTTTAAAAAAAATATAATATTTAAATGATTAAATGTACCAAAACTATGAGCCTTATTCTAGTTGTCGAAGTAGAGCGACAATTGTCGTCACGACTTGAATTTGATATTCTAAATGGCGATTACAGTGACACGTGTCGTGGAATAGCGGCAAAATGTGTAGAATTTTTATGTTATTGATAGATAATAGCATTTATAATCTTTAAATTAACTGTAATTTTTAAAACTTTCTATTTAATTTACTATAATTTCTAACAATTCCCTAACTAGCTTTATGTTCTACTAATTTTTCAAATTAATTTGGGGAAATCTATACAATATTAGGTTTTATCTATAAAATTTAGAATTAATTGGAATCTATTAAAATTGCTGACCGGTTAAATTTTAATAAAATAAAATTTTATATATTATTTTAATATTAATTAAAATTTTATATATATATTTATAAAATAAAATAAATATGCATAATATACATAATATATATAAATATACATAATTCGTATGTTTTTCACCAATTAATTTTCTATTGGAATTATTTTTACTTAATATTTTTTTATTTTTAACTTTCGAATATTATAAGAGAAATTAATAATTAAAAGCATTTATTTTTAGGTTTTCTAATTAAAGTTTTAAAAATAATTATCGCATAATTATAGCTGATGTTTAATAAATAAAAATTGTACTTTTGCAGATTTATTGGTTAAATGATATAAATTATAATCATAGATAATATATATATAAAACATAATTAAACAATCCAATTTGGCTATTTACACAGTTCCAAAATTTTTTTATCCGATAAATTATTTTTTAATTTATTTACCTTACTTATTTTTTCCACATATTTAACTAAACAAAAAATATTTTAAGAACTTTTAAAAGCATTAGATCGCTTTGTTCTTATATTTCAAGGAGTGCTTACAAAATATCGTGTAGAAATTTTACTTTTATTAGATATTTGTAAACCTGAAACAAATTTTTATTATTCTCCTTCAGTGGTCGAAGTGGAATACTCAAAGTGGTGGGATGGTAAAAAAAAAAAATATTATTTTAGTTATTTTTTAAAAAAATAACTCAACAAAATTTACCAAACTTTGGAAGTAAACTAACGAGAATATTTATATTCAAAATTAAATCAACTAAAAATTTAATCAAAAACTGTGCTAATTGTTACCAAAGTAATGCATATACTACTATGTAGTAACGAAAATTTCATTAATAGAAAAAAATTATACGTTACTATTTGAAATTGGTCTTATTTAAAATTACATACATACATACATATATTTAATTTTTTGTTAAAAAAATTTTTAAAATTCATTAGAAAATTTTCTTAAATTTTAAAAAACATGTTCCGGAACGCATTTTTAGATGTAGTGGGATGGATTCCTAATTATTTAAAAGTAATGCATCCCACTCCATCCCGCCTAACTTCGAGCACTGTTCTCCTTATAAAATACCAGTTATTTCAAATATTTGAAAGTCTCTTCTTACAAAATGGAATAATAACGAGAATGTCCTCTATAAATTCATTTATTAATTAAATTTTGTACTTCTATGCAAAAATTGAAGATTAAAAAATTTTTTCTTTGGAATAATTTTAAAAACATCAGTTTTATTTACGATTCGTCATCAACTACTTGAGTTTATTGATCACGCTTAATCTATGATTGAAGTACTTTTTTTCACTTCTTAAAAGTTTTTAAAAAGTCGTTTAACACTGTTTTAAACAGTTTTTGAACAGGTATAATTGAGTATTATGCGTCAGTGTAAGCCTTTCGCTGACAAATTCAAATCATACATAGCCTTCGTTAAAATATACTTTTGAAAACGCCTGAGCATTGCTGTACTTTAATGTCCGAATCTTTTAAAAACAAACAAAAATGTTTCAGTCAACCTTTACAGATATAAGTTGTAAATATGTCTTGACAATTGATTATAAAACCAAGTCCTAGCGAACTGGTTGAAGACAATTTTTGAAACATGTATAAACTATAATTTTGCACTTTGTTACCGAATTTCCGGGTTTCACTCCAATCGCTTCTTGTGCTACCCAGCTACTCAGCTACCCGGAAATGCCAAGACATATCACTAAAACTTCTAAAATATTTGCTAAATAGCGACCCTTCATGCACTTTAAAGGGCTTTATTACTTCAAATATTTAAAATTAGTAATTAAAGTTGTATAGCAGTTATCCAAATCTGCCAAGCTATTTCATAGAAACTTCCACAACATACCTGACCTGAGGTGATTGAACACATGATTTTCATTAGTTTTATTAGTCTTCGAAATATTTAAAATAATCTTCTGAGTAGCATAGCAGCTAATCGAATCCATGGTTCGACTTTTTCCCTAAAATTAGCAACAGTCCCTTGCAAAATAAGAAAACAATTTTTGAAAGTTTGGTGGTGTTTTCTCTTTCTTGGATAATTGTTCAAGGGAACAAAGGAATAAATTTCGCGGGAATAAATGTATAGTGATAACGAACTTCATACCGAATTATTAGTAAAAACCATTTTTCAAATTCTTTCCATCTAATTAGGTTAAATGTTCATATTTTACGTACATATGTATGTATGTATGTATGTTTTAAACTTAAACTTCTTATTTTCGCGATATAATCATTTTTTTAATGCAAGTATGTATGTATATGATAAATAATGCGACATAGAGAACAATTTTTTTTTCTTTAAGTTTGTGCTATTCTGATCTATATCCATGAATTTTTGATTCACGTCAAAGCGAACATTTTTGATCGAAAAAGTTGATATGGATCAAAATGGAACTGGACCTTCTCTAATTAATTTACTATAATTCTCAATCTCTTTATCGAAATTGCCCAAAATTTTATAGTCAAACTCTTAAAACTATAATAAAACTAATGACAAAAATTTTAGAAATCCATCCAGAAACCCATCGTTTAGTGTTGAAATAGTGTTGTTAAACTTCCAACGCGATTTTCTCGATTTCAAAGTCATGGCGTATGGATCAAATAGGTGTGCCTGGGATAAAAACTTTAAAAAACTTCAAAAAGTTTTTATTCACAAACTGTCTGAGATAATACTTTTTGAACAAAAGTGAGAGAAAATGATGACATTCTCATTTTCTCGATGTTTAAAGTTTTTTCAAGTTTTGTAAAGTAAAATTTAGTGTTTTAAAAACATTTTAAATCTTACAGTTGTCGAAACATAAGTATGTTTTTCTTGGTTATCTCTGAAGGTTTTATTTTTGAAAAAAATTTTTCATCAGCAATAATTTTTTTTTCAAAACATTTCATTAAAAAATAAATTAATAGCCAAAATAGGTTCACAAACGGTTTTTTCTAAGTTTCACACTTTGAAAATTCAAAATCAAAATTTTCGGTTTTTGGTATAACCAAAAAATATTTATTTTTGATTGACAATTACTTTGAAATTTTACGTTTATCACATATTTATAAAGTTTTCAAAAGTTTTTTAAAGTTTGCGTAAGTTTTATCCCAGACAGACCTAATATATGTAACTAATACTATACTCAAAAAAAATCATTGTAATTTTTACGAAGTATTTGGTAAAAAACGCTTAACAGTCATTTTTTGGTGATATTTACGATTATTTTGTTAATTTTAAAGAACAAAAGAATTGTTCTTTAAAATTAACGAAAGAAATAAAATTAAAGAAAGAAGAAACATTTTATAAGAACATAAGAATTGTTTTGTAAAAAATACAAAAAAAAAATATATTTTACAATTAGCATAGTAAATTTTGCAAAAACAATTGGTGAAAATAACATTTTTTTTTTAGTAAATATAAAAATTGCTTTGTGTAAATAATAAAAATTAATCGTAACGTATATATACAAATTTATTGTTATTCGTAACGCACAACATTGTTAATTTCACAAAATAATCTAGTAAAATTTTACCATATTTTTTTATCAGAGGAACTAAACTTTCAGTAAAAATTTACAAATTAAATTGGTAAAATTTACTTACTTTATAATGTTTGCCATATTTGCTTTTGTAAATTTCACTAATGTTATAAGTTTTACCATTTTTTTTAAGTAGATTTTACAAAAGCTTGGTAAATATTACAAAACAATTTTTAAATAACTTTGTAAAAGTAACAGCTTGTTGTAACACGTCATCGCGTGAGCGATAGTCAAAGAGGAAGAAGGGTTTTACAACCTTAGTATAAAAGTCTTAACTAATAGAGTTTAAGTTACAATAAAATTAAAATAAATAAAACACAGTGAACTTTATTGCTTAATAAAATTAAAATAAATTAAAAGTAAAAAGATAATTCAGTTCTTAAATTAAAAAAAAGTTAAGTGAAGTGAAACCAAAAATTAACTATATTAAATGGAAGAAAGAAATAGAGCTGATTTTTAATATTCTTTAAGCATTTCTGTCATAAATCTTCCTTATTTTATAATAAAAATATAATTACTTTCAAAATTATACTTAACAATTGATCTTATATTCGTTTATAAATTTTTTTATTAAACGTGACACATTGAAAATTCTAAATTCATCTGATTTCGAAAAAATTTTTTCAAATAAATTGTCATACATACATACATATATACCATAGGTCTACAAATGAAATTTGA